CTGTTTTTACATTAAGATTAGTTTACTGCTGATGAAATTCACTATTGTAATGGAAAGTAAGCTATCATTAAGCATGCTGAACACTGGACTGTAAGTAGAAGCAAGAAATACTACTCCTTCACTAAGGTACCGGAGAACAAGAGTCGATGAAAGCTGAGTCCTAGGCAGTTATACTAAGTTTCTTGTTCATACTGAGTGATATACAGTCGAAGAGCCCGAGGAAGGTTGAGATAAAGGTCTTGAATTTCAGTATTAAGTAAACAGTTAAACATGCAAAGCAAACTACCAATCAAACACAAGTTATATAAATCAGACCCTTCAAAAAAAATATTCAGCTGTCAGCAAATGACAATAAAGTTCATTCAAAAAAAATTAACTTATCTATATAAGATTTCAGACAACTAAAGATTCGCATAATATTTATAAAAAGCAATAATCTGAACGAAAATATTCTTTTCAATAATTTCTGTTTAGGTTCTATAATTATAAAATGATTTGTACAGCGTAAAATTAAGCCAAACTAGGGGCAATCGCATTGTTAAAATGGAGTGAGATTTAGGGATTGTAAGGAAATGGGCTTCTCTCCGAATTTGCTAATATTGGGATGAAATGTATACAGATAAATAGTGTGATAGTGAACGAAAAGACAATGAATAAAGAAGACATGAGTGACTTTTAGTTTGTTAAGGCCAAGGGAAAAGTAACTCCTGGACATGTTATTTCTGAATACAGAGTTCAGGCTTGATCAATCTTATTACGACAGCTTCCCCTATATTGAACAGGCGTTGGTGGGCTACATGTGGTGTTGGAACACGATGAATGACAGTGAAAGCTTTATTAGCATCTATATGATGCCCTGTGTCGACTAGATGCGCTAGGACTGAACTTTTCCCCACTTTCCCCTTTGCGAAACAAACTGGTAAATACCCTCGTATCCGAAGATGCACCTGACTAATCGTGTGCCCTATGTAACTGGTTCTATAGGAACAGTTAACTTGATATATTCACGATGAAGAGCTAAGATTAAATAGGCTATCCTTTAGTCTCGGATTAAACATTGGCCGACTACTGAATGATATGCAAAGTCGACCTGCATAAAACGTCCTATTGACTACTCTAGCTAGGCATTGTGACAGAATTTCACTTGCAACATCTCCCTTGAATCGTAAGCAAAGAAACAAAAGCTTCTTTCCCACTGTCATCAATTCTCGTTTATGACCATAATACAACAACAATAAACTGACTACTTTTTTATTTCTGTAAATACAGAATAGACAAATTCTTCACTATACAAACCTTTACAAAGAATCTTTGTTTAATTTCTTCATCAAAACCTCAATAACAACAAGAAAAAACAACTCAACATTAAACAAAAATGGAAGATGTTACAGAAAACACGTACATACATGGTTGCCTGTATCATGTCTGCATCATTGGTGACTGCCTTTAAAAAGCACCTTAGTAACAACTGAAACAACCAACTAAACTTCCCTATTTTATGAAAATCTGCCTTTCTAACCGAAATGGAGATACCCAATTGATTATTTCGATCATTGCCGTCATAGTAACTGTGCGCAATCATCTATAACTAGGACAAATAGTATATTAAATAAAAAGCTACCATTAACTGGATCAAAGTTCAATCTACAAATGTATACGAGAAAATGATTTAGACATAAAACAACATATCCACTTAGTGTGTCAAATTGTTTTGTATACATACATCAAGTGTGAATCAAAAATCAGAATAAACGATCAATATGAACGTTGAAAAAAATTAAAATATATTTTATAGTATCAACTATTAGCTACTGATCTAGATTACAATTAATCTCATTTATAATGGGATTCGTAATAGACAGTGATAGACAACCTAATGGTCTTTCAGTGTTTATCGATGATTGAGAACAATAATGTGATTACTAGACCCTTGATTGTTTCCTGTCTGTATACAATACGAAGTATAGTGTCATCATTTATTTACAATCTATTCCATTTAAACATATAAAGGTAATCATTAATATAGGCTAAATTATCGCGAATTACACACCATTGAAGTTTACACTATGTTAGTATTTTATTGTTTATAAGTTTCACTCCGTAAATTTCAAACACCAATCTGCAATAATAACCATGGTTACTACACTTTAAATCATCATTCTGAAAAGCAAGTTAACCTATAGTGGTGTGTAGGAAACAACAAATCGTTTCAAAGAGAATTTCCACTCCAGTATAGTTTAAAATTTTACCTCAAACGTTCGACGTACTGGATTAGATATAGCTTCTGCACTTACAACATATCCACCTCTAAATTTTAGTCCACAAGCAGCATATTGGCCCTGCACAAGAAGACATTCTCAAAGTTAACAAAATTTGGTGATCAGGTATATTTGTCAATAGTGTGTCTTACGCTTTCCTAGTTAGTTGGAAATTAGAGATAGATAAGTCAGACTGTTCTAGATTGTTGATCATTCTGGTGTGCAAGAAAGTAGAGAAGTATGTAGCGATAATTAGGGCTCTCTATTTAAAATCAGACACATTCCGTCTGAATTGCTTCAGTGAAGACTGAACTACAGCCGTGGGCACTCGAACAAAGATTTCTATGTCACTTTGAAGTTCTCGTTCAAAACATGGATTAACTGTTAAACATAAACACGAACTACAGCAATTTATTGGGTCACTAGTCAGTCAGGGGAGAAAAAGACTTTCCTAAAAAGAATTATTCACAAATTACTAAAAGAAATATCATCACTGACGCAAAACTACACAATTAGTACAGCACGTACTAAGCACAAAAGAAATAAATCAACTGAAGTCGCTAATGGCCGATAAGATAATTGTAACACAACTCTATCAGATGAAGTAAGTTAAGCAGTCATCATACAAAAAACAATGTTAAAAATTGCACTGCATTCACTATACATACGACGAAAGTGTTTACCAAACACTGGATGAAAACTCAATTGTACAATCAAGTAACCAGAATCAAAGCAAACTGATTAATTCAGTAAAAAGTGGTCAACTCTCAAAAGTAGAAAAATGGTAAATAAAGAGAAATGGATTAGTCTTAATGACGTTCTATGGTAGACCCAAAATACATAAGATAAGACGAATGGCTGTATTACCGGGAATACTTTCGTCCAATCTGTTAATACAGCTTTGCGGAAAATCTAAACACCTGGTTGATGGAAGTAAACACTAAGTTACCTGCGTGACTGGATTTCTGACAAAATTAAAGAACAAAAATGGACGATAGTGGAAGGATGGTATCTTTTGAAATAACCTCACTCTTAATCTCAACCAACCCAAATCTAGGTCAAAGAAGAACTGAATAGTTTTCTGAAGAACGACTAATATCTTTCAGACAATTCAAGATTCATTGTTCTCAACCCAATAAAGCTGATCGATATCTTATAGCTTCTTTACAACCACACAAGAAGATTAATAAATAAACAAAGAGAGGATAACCGTTAGGTCGCCAATGTCAGCGTCAATTACGAAAAGAGTGACGCGGTATTTATCTTAACGAACCTGAAATTGAGGTTCTATTTGTCAACGACACTTTTGCAACTTTCAAGTGGGATGAAACAGAAAACATGTCTAAACTAAGTGACAAAACATTTTAAAGAATTCGATTTACAAGAGAAGAAAGAAAATAATGAAATCCCGGTTTCAAGTATCGTCATCATTAGGAGACATATGGTACGACCTTGTTAACCTAGGTGTTCATGAAAGCCCCACTGATAAAATTTTGAGTTGCAACAACAATCATATATAGTCAATTAGAAATGTTTTGTACTGTTTCAAAGAGTCGAAACCAACGACAGCGCCCACTCATGATACGGAAAGTCTCTGAAGTATGTCTGCACAAAGTGCTTACAGCCAATTATTATCGACCTAACTTTATAAGATGTTTGTCAAAAAGACAAAAAACAAAGTAAATACTTCAAAATCGATAAGTGGGTCACTTTAACATGCATCCTCTTCGGACGTGTTACCAAAAGAGTACACGACAAATAGAATCTGAAAAATCGACTGTAATGATTGTCCACACTACTTCATACTGTTTAACTGGCAGTACGATTGCCTAAAGTATTCAGAAGAACCAACCAGGAGTAAAGTGACATGAAACATTGTCTTTCCTCTCAATGAACATAGAAAGTTACGCTAGCAACTTTTATTTACAGGGCGTGGAAGTTATTGAACAAGCATATTCGAAATTTGCAAAAAATATTTATGAAATTTTGCATTAAGAGAAAACATCAGTCAACGGACATATGGATATAGCCCTGCTATGTAGTTTAGCAAGAAAGAAAACAATCATTCATTATCTAAATGGAAATTGATAAATCAAATGTATGATCAAGCTCAATGAAAAAGACGACGTCACTCAAATGGAGATTTTTGAGAGTAACTCAAAGAGATTTGAAGTATCTTCCCTAACTTTCAACGAAATGACATTCAGGGTCAGTAAATACTACCTAAACATCTGTGTAACTGTTGAACATGTATGACTTCATAATGAAGTCAGTGCTGACAAGGTTACCCGATGTCTGGAGATGAAATCTCCACGACTAAATAAAATAACCCATAGAACAACAACTTACTGTCATCCTCATTCTAAACTTCACATATTTTCAATCACCTCAAAAACCATGTTTCTGGGAAAAGACCTTAAGCTTATCTATCGCTTGATTAGATTCTGATGACAAGAGTCAACTAGATCTTACTAGCTGCATGGAACATAACTTTAAAAGAGACGCAGTCTCAATATTTCACTGTTCATTCGTTCATCAGTAAATATAATTTCAGTTCTACTGAAAACAACTGAGAATTCTATGTAAATAGTAAAACATATGTACGCTTGTTATACTAATACTAGCAAGTACCAGTGTTTACAACACACAGTAAACAAATATTCCTAAACACAAAAACTGTTCAATCACGCTATTTTTAATGGTATGCAAGTTTTAAATAAGAAAATTATTTCATAAACTCACTTTCATAATCACATAAAAAAACGTGTACATTAACAAGTTGATCATAAAAATGGATAATAAAAAGGTGGAGAAATCCCTTGGCCGTCTGACTATGCCATAACCAGCTCTAAAATAATCAAATGAAAGCAAAACACACAGATATTAGTTAATAATCAAGCATACTTAGTAAACTTGGCAAAAGAAACCAATCTGTGAACAAAATGATCTATAAAGCATAAAAAATCTTTCTCATTATCATCATCATCAATATCAACATAGGACCAGTATTACTACGTAACGGTCGGAGTTGCCACACCTCATAGCAGAACATCAAGTAGAAAGGTAGTGAGGTAGAAAGATGAAGATAAGAAAATTCAGTCAAAAGAAATATAAAGTACGAAAAGAGAGAAACGAAGAATGAAAAAGTGATGGGATTCAGTATAGTGTCGTTAAGATGAGGATAATGTGTGTATACATCTGCGCCACTGACATCGGTTTTGAGCCTTTCTTTCTAAATAATTGCAAGTAAAGTGGTATTCATGCCAAAGGAGTGTCTTTCTATCGCTTTTCAGATGAATGTACGTGGAGCATAGTGAGCGTTGTTGCCCTTCTGCAATAATTCATTATAACACCAATACGTGAAATCATTAACTGCTACTCAAAGTAGTTCAAGATGCAGGCTACGTCATTAAATGACCTTAAAAGTTAAAAGCGATTGTATAGCCTAAGTATAACATATTTTATAAACTTGTTTTATTGTTAAAAAATGTATTCACATTTTATTTTTCTCCTAATCGTTGACACATTATCACTTCATATGCATCAGTATCTTCTCCCTCAAAAAAATTTATCTTGAGTGTGATAATGTCCTTTAGTATTTCTTGATTTCAGTGAAATACTGTCATGAAACTTGTATGTTTACATCTTTGAGGAACATTTCGTTTCCTTATTTCTCTCCCACAGTAAAGTATAACGACTATAGGTGAATAAGGGACGAAATGGTACGAATCGATATGGTTTTTAGGAATTGAATGAAGATAAAAAATATATGTTTTCAAACCTGACATCCACGCATCTGAATGACTTTACCCAAGCAGCGTATATCGAGTAAACCAAAAAAAAGTCTGTAATGAAGTCAAAAAATACCTTAAACTAACAGTTTAAGGTTTCCAGGCCTTGTATGGTGTCTTGCTAAAGTTGTTCCAAGGAGCCTTCATTGTGTATCCATCACAGCTACCACTGTCTCATAATACGGTGATAACTTGCTAATTACCTTTTAGAAGTGATGGCTGGGACGTTGAATAAAACGCTAAGAGGAACAGTTGTACTGGTGAATACCTGGGATTCAGTTGCATACCATACAACTGGCATTTTAGTGGAACATACACATCATGCTTTCATTCCTTACAGAATTGGAAGAGGCTTTTCAAAATCTAAAATGCAACAAAGCGATTTGACTGTCGATTTCCAAAAGTCTAAAAGATCATGAATTACCGGTAGAACGGAAGTATTAGATGAGATTGTTTTCGGTTTTAGGTCACTGGACTATGTACTGAACTTCTAACAAATGACTTACGGTTCCGCGTCACGCTGTATCTACAAGATTCGGATAACCAGGTAGTATCAATGCCACTGCATAACAGTTGTGCTGTATTACCACAGAATTGAACTTCCATACGGCTTTTAATTCCCTGTATAATTAACTGGAATTTGAATCAGAGGTACACAAATCTGCTTGCTCTAGATAATTATTCATTCTAGACTATCAGAAAGGAGAAATCTTTTCATGATTACCGCGTAAGCGTTGGCTTGACTGGCATACTTTCGAAGATACTAGGAGCAATAGTCGTTTGATGGCTGACTGAAGAAGGAAAACAAAAAGTCTGGGAGAACCATGGAGGTCTCAGCTTTGAATGATGGTTCACTGATCCCAGTGGTTTGAAATTTACTACATCTAAGTAATGGTGAGGAAACTGTTTAAAGGTGAGTATGTTGTGAAGCAGACTTAATCTACGTCCATGAAATATCACTGCTGAATTTCGAAGATATCGAGAGGCCATGAGTTTTTGATCATAGATCATGTAGTAACTCAATTTAGAGGTTTGCGGGGAGGTAAGCGGTCATATGAAATAGTCAGCTACTGTTAGGTTATCGTCTAATCGGAAGGAAAGAATGAATAGAACACTATGTGTAAGTCTGGTGGCGATGGTAGTCCATTCAACCAGTATGAAAATCTTTTTGAAGGAGAAAGGAAGAATTGATTTGCTTTATATAAAGTGTGTGACTGGAAACATATATAAAAAAGATTAACTTGGTCCAAAAATCTTCCTGTACTGATAACAACGTTTCGCTGGTCATTATATCAGGAGAGTTAATTAGTGCCACTGGTCACTGAAGAGCAGTACGTAGGAAATCCAATCACTTCATTCCCCATTGCAATATATGATGCCAGGGTAGATGGATTCAAGCGCAAGACGAATATAAAGCATCTAAAGACTTTTGAGCAGCGTTCAATAGACTGCGCATCAAGTTAACACGGGCATATACAAATGAAAAGAGCAATGAACGAACGAAATCCACTCAACAACCTTGTGCACACTTGTCCAAAAAGTAATAAGCCACACCTATTGTGTAAGGCCGAATGATACTACCTGGTTGTCCGAACCTTTGCAGGTGGAGCTGAGTTCGAACCAATGCCCCTTCAGTTGTAAATAAACTATGTGAACCAATGAACGATAGAACCACCAGGTGTCCTATCGTCAGACTAAGGTGATATACACACATGATGAGGTCGACGGTATATGTTGTCCAAAAAGAATTGAAATAATTTCATAAATATCAAAAAATATAAATTAAATTCCGTTGCACAAACTTCCTACTTCTTGAAGTTGGGTGCCAATTATCAGCAGTAGATACAGAGGATAGGACCTGTGACCCTAATCTAAACAACCCAGCTCAGAAAACACAATACAACCAAAATATGATGGTACCAGAGTTAACGAATTATCAGATTATCATAAAGCCAAATGGGCAATAGCTTTTTAAACGTCACCAGTTCATAAACTTTCGAATATTAAAAACAGTCGGTAAACGGTGATTTCTAATGGAAATATTTCGTGTCTAGTCTAAATCTTGACTACAGTGACCATTTATGTTTCTTGAAGTAACAAAGAAATATTGAAGGTATTTAGGCTCAAATGAACACTTGATTAGTTGGCAGTCGAATGACAGTCAAATGAATAGCAACTGCAAAGTCAGAGACGCCATTCTCGATAGTACCAAGTTTCAGCTATAACTCACTGACTGAAAGCTAAGTATCAGAAATGTACCTTTTTATTCTTACAAGAATCTTGATCAGTTGCCCTAAGATTAGCAATCACTATTATGCATTCGGGACCTACTTTTCAATGGATAAATGGAAAATTATAGAAAAACCTGGCAACGATTTGTATCTCAGGTCGATAATCACGAAACAATTATTGTAAATACGACGCATGTAAATAGGTATGACCCATATCTACCTGTGGAAATGCTAAATGTATGGAGATTTTTAAACATCTTAGAATAAAATAATGCAAATATTAAATAACTCTGTAGTATCAGAAGCGGTCAAATGTCCTGAGTTTACTAAGTGTTCTGTTACAGAGCAGATGCATTCTCGTTTTCCTCTTATCAACCAAGTTGGGCAATGTTCGCCAGCGTGGCGCATAAGCTGGTGCATGGTACGCCCAGCTGCATCTTCAGCTCTGCAACAGAAGACTTAGTAATATTCCTACGATGGACATCAATACACAGAAGAGAAATTTCTCGAGATTCAAATATTTCCTAACCAATTTCGTGGAATGTTGGTAATTATAAACTTGGATAATTTGAGCTTAAAGATTATTTATGAATTTTTCATCATATAAAAATAAGGGAAAAGGATTTGGCGATAAACTTACAAGGTAAAATTAACTAAATTGGCAATAAGTAAAAGGACCATACGCTCTAAGTAAGTTGGACGGAAGCAACCGATTCCATCCGTACGAATTAGGTGGTAAATACGTCTCGGAAGACACAAATCTTGAAAACAAAACCGTACAAAAACGATGTGTGTGAGGAAAATTTTCCGACAAATTGATTAAGATAAAAAGATAAGAATGTTTACGATAAAAGATTTGTGTTTCGGTTACATCTCTACTAACATATCATTGTTGTTCTCATACTTATTGCTAGATATTAGGAGTTATCGGGTAGGAAACTTTGGTTCTGTATCTTGCTGGAACTTGGCATCCAGGTGTATACAAAACCTTGACAAAATTTACGTTATCTTGGGGATTCAAGTCTTCGATCCACAATGGGTGTTTCATTAAAAATAATGTTTTGCATTCGTGAACCGGTTACGGTTACAGTAACTCACAACTGCTAAAAAACTGATGAAAATTTATTGATTAAATCATCTAGTAATGTTCAGCTATTTTAAACGGTTAGTAGCAAATGAGGAAGGCTAGTAAATGCATAATAAAAATCCTTGTCTTTAGGTGATTAAAAAGGAATCATGTCATCTAGAACGTCTTTTCACTTCTTGCATAGATGATGCAGAGATCATCTGTGCCTATTAAGCCCCCCCCCCCTTCCACCAAAAAAGCTTCGAGTAATTAACGTTTCTGTGGCTTGATGTAAGACCGAAATTTCATGGCGCTGAATACATATATTCTATACGTATGGTTAACTCCAGGGTTTCATATTGGTTATCTTCAACCACCTAACGCCAGAATGAAGCACAATGGTTAATCTACTAGCCCGATAACTATATGATAAAATTATCGACAGAATCCAGTGAGTTGAATTTGGGATTTTTAAGGATTTAGTGATTTTTCAAGTTGCTATTCATCGTGAACTGACATCAGTTGGAGGAACATAGGATTTCTACCCAGTGGCTCAATGGTAACGTACTGGCCCCGGGAACCTGAAGGTCTTGGCTTCGGTCATGGGTGTACACTGCTGAGGAGTCCCATACTAAGATGAAACAGTTTCCCAGTGCTCCCAGGTTTCCAATGTTTCTCCAACTGATGTCAATCCATGATGAATACCAACTTGAAGAATCCAGTTAGCCCATAGTAATAAAAAACGGAAATCAGTTATTCTGCAGTGATCAATCAGTGGATAACACAAGTATTTTTGGAGATGATGGTGTCAGAACCACGAATTCAAAAGAATTATATTCAGGGAATAAAAATAATCGTCAGCTAAATTTCTATATCTAAATCATTATTCCATGAAATAAGTCAGCTTATCAGCAAGAAGCAGTTAGCACAGTCGTGACGCAAATAAAACAACCATTCCATAAAGGCAAAGTTGATACTGAAGACTATACACATAATTATCGATAACGTGTAGACACAAATATTAACACACATAGACCTATTATGTGGTTTATAAAAACAGAAACTATTTATTTTATGGATTGTAACTTTAACAAAAGAATAGTAATAAGTATAGCTGAAAACAATAATACCACACATGTCTGAATACGCGTGTATACACCTACATACATACACGTGGTAATATCACTTACCAATGTTCCACTGGCCCATATAATAAATCTCGACTGTAAGTACAACACTCATTATTAAAAAGAAGATCGTGAAAATGATCCAAAAAACCTGATTTCCATATAACTAGAACAAGAAGAAAGAAGACAAAAGAATAATACACGTAAAGGACAACAAGACTCACAATTTTATTTAAGTTATTTTGGTTGAATCCACTGAGACACAAGATGAGGCTAACATTATCAGAATAAAAGTAGTCCGTCGTAATGTGAAGTAGTCACTAAACTATAACTAGTCTAGATCTGCAATTTTCAGTGTTGACTGAAGCTTACTAAGGCATAACAAATGATCATCATCATCATCATCATCATAGAACAGAGCATAGAGTGGCAGTCAACTGGATCTTTACCTCAACTTCATCGATTTTGAACAGGCCTTCGACAAGGTCGACCGACAAGTAATTTGACAGGCAGCTGCTTCAACACTACGGTTTTAGTACCATAAACCTTTATCAAACTCATTCAACACCCATATGACGACACCACATGCCAAGTGATTCACAATGGAAAGGTCAGTGATGCCTTTGAAGTTTGGACAGGAGTAAAACAAGCCTGCTGCCTACTGTCACCGATCATCTTCCTGATTGTGGTGTACTGTGCTGGATCATGCAACAAACTGTAAAGAGCTGTGAGAAGATGGGCATACGCTGGCTGGACCGATGAAAAGACCTCAGAAGATTTGGATTTCACCGCCAATCATGATGATTTATGTCCAATGTCTTGTTGCATGAGCTCGAAGATCTGAAGACGAAAACCAACGATTTGATGGAAGATGCAAGGCAGCGAAGACGGGACTTCAGGTGATTGTGGAGTAGACAGAGGTGATGAAGATACCGAACCAACAACGACAACAACAAGCACCGGTCACCATCAAGGGGAGAAACCTAAAGGAAGTTGTCTCTTCTACCTACCTACCAAAGGAAGGTACACGACGATAAAATCATTTTTCAGTGTTTACTAACGTAATATGGCTTCAGATACAATAATAGTATTATTATTACTATCATTATTGTATACTTCATAGGGTGATAATGTTAAGAGACCAGTAACCAGGTAAAAGGATATGACCATATATTCATGCTATTTCATTTCTTAGTGCCACACGCCGTCGGTAATTGTTTCCCATGTGCATAAAGTAATATTCATAAGTTAACAAATTTAATAAAATTGCAGTATGATGAAGAAAAAACTTACAACACCAAGAACTCCGAGGAAAATGACTACAGCCATTACCATATAAGCTGAGTGAGCTGATGCATTAACATCTGGATGCCTCGTCTGATATATTTTCAGCATAATCAACATAGCAAGAATATACATGTAGGCTGTGTCTGAAATATATGCATAAAGAATTCAGTAAATCTAATATTTCAGAAGCAAATTATGCTGGAAAGCAACATGTACATATTTTCAAGCAGTTAAAAGGATAAATTACTACAGAGATAAAAAGGATAAAGTTGTATATTGACAAATAAACTTTTTGACCTAGACTATGCGATTAGACTTATACTTGAAAATATTACTTTGATACGATAACGTGACTTAGACATTCTATACGTCTTACTGTGCAATATCACTTATAATTGATTGCCGAAGCTATACGAAGTATGTTGGTAGATTATTCAAATATGCATGATCCTACCCGATATATTTCAAGTCACCTATCAAAATGCTTGATACCTCCAGTTCTATGCATTTGTGCACATAAATAACACCGTCTCAATGTACAGTGAAGTATAAATACAAAACAAAATCAATTCGGCTAAACGATTGTTTTTTGAAACAATGAGACAGAAATATAACTTTAAAAAATAGTTGAAAACAATAATAGGAAGTATCTTTCTTCATAAAGAATGTTTTACACATGAAACCACTAGAACATAATTGTTTGAGTTTCCTGTTTTCATTTATAGTGTCTCAACTTCCTAATACACTAGATAATAGTATCTAGATCTACAGTCTTATATAACGAGGTGTGGAAAGTTACTTGAACAGTGGTAAGCTGGAGTTGAACATGAAAATGCAGTCATAATCTAAGACATGACAATCAACTGTCACGAGACAACTATTACACTATTTGAAGCGAAAATCAAGTTGAAATGAACTAGTAAGCATACCAAAGTGTTAAGCAAACTTAAGAATCCCCTAAAGTTCATGAGGTTGTGAAAACGTTAGAATCTATTTAAGGAAATTTAAAAACAGATACCAGATGGTAAAGCAGGCAATTTAAATGAAGTAATAGGTTTAACTGAATGTTTTCACTGCATTCAGTTCTGTGAAAACCCTTCTCTCGCTGTCTTTACTTGTAACTACAAGAACCCAGTCACATAGGTAATGAATCTGTTACTGATATTGTCTAGTGAAGTATTTCTGCAGTTATGTTGTTTTATATGTAGTTTTCAATGAAATACCGGTTAGTGTGAATTCAGAATCACAAACCGTGCAAATTGAAAAACTCTACCATCCGGAAGTTCCTATCTTCAGTTACAGATATTCTTCATTTTTTTTGAAGCATGGAGCCCTACAAAGACACTGAATGGAAAGGCATAATGATGCCAATAATATGAAATAGTTCATTACTTATATTGGTTTACATAAAACACTTTCTAGCAATTCTAACGCTACTTATCTCCTGTAATATTCATTACACTATCGTATCTTTCCGAAGTGAAAATATTCCTTTTATTGATTCTTGTTCAGTGAAATAGAATCACAATGTGGAAAGTAAATACAACCAATTATCCGATTGTGTTCTCCTTCAACACAATCAGTTTAAGAAATAAAGACCGAACTATGAGTTAAAGTGGGCCAAAGATTAAGCTTGAATTTACTTTCCCTGATAATGAAGGCAATAAACTGTTATCTTATCTACTTGTAGGTGCCTAGTTTGAAGCATTTATTAATTATTTTGCCAAGGGAAAATATGTAGACGGTTCAACAAAAGAAAAACCTGAAAATCTTAAGTAAGTATCCGCTGGACACAAGTAAAAATGTGCCACAACTGTATACACTCAGTCTGTATGCGCTTGCCCTTTGTCTAATAAGTGACCGTTACAGAACCTAGTATCACTACTACTCAACGGAAACAATTTATATATATATATATATATATATATATATATATATATATATATATATATATATATATATATATATATATATATATATATATAGTTAGATGAAAAGAGAAGAGAAAATATCATTACTATATTACAGTACGGTTTTTGGAAAAGTGCTGAAAGTTGTGAATTTCTTGATTGTGGAAGAATGTAGTTTAAATTTACGATAAATCTTTCATTAACCAAATATTCATTCGTGAGAACTTCAAGAACTCAGAAATTTTACTTGTACCTGCGGAGTCTAAGTAAGTAATAAGATACACTATATTTTAGTGTTCTTAACACCTAATCACTGAAAGAAATGTCCCCGTCTTACTTAGTTTATTAATTAAGCGAAATCCACTTAAACAATTTCATTTTCCAAGGTGGTTGCAGACTTCTACTGAAAACTGTTAAACTATGTACATACAGGTGAAAAATGAGACAAAGGTCAAGTGATTTGAACCTCATTATTACTTGTTGATTTTATTTTGATACCTATTAGGATTCAAATTATCATTGAGAGAAATCTAGGGTATTGAGAAGAAAGGTAAATTTTACAAGAATTTTATTTTGATAACTTACCAAACTGGAAATTAGAGAAGCTTGGGCACATATGGTAACAAGCACTCATCAAACCTTCCATAGTCAATGCCAAACCCATTGCATAAAATAAACCATAATGTTGTGGAATTCCTAGCACCTAGTGATATTTTTATAAATGATAAATAAATAACTGGAATATACAAGATCTATAAGTTAGTTATACGATAAACTTAGCGAATTGAATAAAATTCATAAAAAGAATAATACATACTGCTACATATGTATAAGGAATCAGCAGAGTAACCTGCAGCGTAACTATATTTAGGCGAATATTTATGCTCTTAGTGAGGTTCAACTAATTATACCTTAGCTGTTATAGCTCAGGATGCTAACACATAACATTATGAACAGCTGACAACTCCTAATGAAATCGATTAACCCATAATAGTCAGTCATTAAATAGAAGTGTAGTTAGCGCTTTGATCTTTGGAACCAGCCAAGTTCTATCAACCTCGTCCACAAGAGGAAAAGAGTATAAGTTTTCTTAAGCTAAAAACCAACTCGATACACAGATAGGAAACTTTCCGACTCTGTATAAACAATGCATTACAATTTCATGAGAATAACCTAATAGCCAAAATGAATACTATATCTGATAGAACTCAGTCAAACATGAAAGGCGGGGGTATACTGACTAAGATAATTATTCTTATTCATTACCTGTCCCTTGGGTTCCTCCTAGTGGGACATAAGGTTTCAGTGACATGTCTCTATTTCACTCTCTTCTCTGAAATACATTTAATTTGGCTCCAACACTGCCCACAAGCTCTCATTTCTTCTTCATCCAATCCCCTCCATGTCACCCTCCACTCACACGCCAAACTCGTCGTTTCCTATTTGGATTCCACTCGAGGGCCTGGCCTGGCCCGGCGCGTGATGTCTCCAAATGGTTTTCTCAGTGTATGCCCACTTCAATCCATCTCCACTTTCTTCTTCTGCATATTTGTTGGGTGATGGGTTCTGGGTCGGTTCATTACCAGCCAGAGTTCCTTGTTGCTTATTCTCTCTGGCCATCTGATCTTCAGTATCGAGTGAGCTTAGGTGGCAGCCATTGACAAATGTCTGCAGTTTGTTGGAAGCGCTTATTTTGACGCGCCAAGTTTCTGAACCATATAGCAGCACTGACTAGACATTGGTGTTGAAAATCCGGATCTTGTTCTTTATGCTGAGTGCAGTGCAGCAGATCTCCACAGTAATTTCAAATTAATGAACGCCTGTCTTGCTGTACTTCCGATCCTGGCTGCTTTCACGTCCTCATCTGTCCCGCCACCTACAGTTGAAACGATTCTGCCTTGCCTAGGTGTAGGTGTAGGCGAAGGAGACAACTTCCTTTAGGTTTCTCCCCTTGACGGTGACTGGTGTTTGTTGTTGTCGTTGTTGGTTCGGTATCTTCATCACCTCTGTCTACTCCACAATCACCTGAAGTCCCGTCTTCGCTGCCTTGCATCTCCCGTCAAATTGTTGGTTTTCATCTTCAGATCTTCGAGCTCATGCAACAAGACATTGGACATAAATCATCATGATTGGCGGTGAAATCCAAATCTTCTGAGGTCTTTTCATCGGTCCAGCCAGCGTATGCCCATCTTCTCACAGCTCTTCACAGTTTGCTGCATGATCCAGCACAGTACACCACAATCAGGAAGATGATCGGTGACAGTAGGCAGCAGGCTTGTTTTACTCCTGTCCAAACTTCAAAGGCATCACTGACCTTTCCATTGTGAATCACTTGGCATGTGGTGTCGTCATATGGGTGTTGAATGAGTTTGATAAAGGTTTATGGTACTAAAACCGTAGTGTTGAAGCAGCTGCCTGTCAAATTACTTGTCGGTCGACCTTGTCGAAGGCCTGTTCAAAATCGATGAAGTCGAGGTAAAGATCCAGTTGACTGCCACTCTATGCTCTGTTCTATGATGACGCGTAGTGTAGCGTTGCAATTCGATCCACACGAAATCTGTGTTTCTTGAAGCTAGCCAGCCTGTCCCAGTCGTATTTTTGAATCCAGAGCATCTTTTAATCTCTCCAGGATGATGCGGCTCAATATTTTGCTTGCGCGGATAGGGACAAAGGCATGATTCCGCACCAGTTCCTGCAAACACTTAGGTCTCCCTTATTTGGGAGTTTGACAATGTAGCCCTTCTTCAAATCTACAGGTACCTTCTCCTCCTTCCACAACTTATGCAGCAGAGGTGTGAGCATCTCCACAAATGTCTCTGAGTCTGTTTTCAGTGCTTCTGGACGAATTTCATCTGGTCCTGCTGCTCTCCCAGATTTCAGCAACTTCAAGGCGTTCAGGACCTCACTTCTGCTCTTGTCAGAGGGCTTGAGTTCACTGCTAAGTCTGTGACTGGGTTGCTGGTGGTATTTCTGGACGAGTTGCAGCTGGTGGTGGTCGATTCAAGAGCTTTCCGAAGTGGTCAGCTCATCGTTTCCTTTCTTTCTCCTCTTTGATAACTACGTTTCCTTCACTATCCTTCATTGGTTTCATCTGCATTGATCTCTTCACTACCAGATAGTAACCTGGTTATTTGATAAAGTGTTGTCAGGTCTCCTCTACATGCAGCCTGTTCTGTTTCACTTGCCAATGTGTCGTAGAAATGTCTTTTGTCTTTGCACGCACTCTTCTTCACTTCTTTGTTCAGTGTAGTGTTTTGTAGGTTGTGTTCAGTTCCTCTTTTCACTGTTCATCCCTGCACTGCACTACACTGCACTAGTTCATCTTCCGCTTCATCGTTTGTCTCTTCCTCCTCTATCAGCTCCCCTTTACCCGTCGAGGCCCATTCCCCGTCTTGCTTCTTATTCCTTCCTAACACAGTTATGCAGGTTTCCTCCCACCTCTCTTTCACATACTTCCAGTGTTCTTACACGAAGGTTTCCTCCACGATGCTGCCTAATGTCTCCCACTTTCTCCTAATAGCTGAATAACATGAAGATATCTTTCGTAATTTCCTCCTTCACTTTTTGTTATCGCTGTTCAACCTGAACTGTGCTACATCAACAACTTCTTTCAAGGCTTTCACAGATAGTCAGTGGTCTGAACCTAAATCTACCCCCCTTCTTGATCTCTTGTCAAGTAGGCTGCGTCCGCATCTGCATCTCCACTTTCTTCACATTCACATAAAGTCGATCTGATTTTTACTGTGTCATGGTGTCTGGTGAAATCAAATCCATGTCACTGACTTGTGAATATCCTTGTGTTTGTACACACTGTTCAAGATCACCAAGTGATTAAATGAGAAGAAGTCTGAAAACAGTTCTCCATTCTCGTTCATCACCTCAACCAGTGCTCCTCCACCCATGATCACTTCTCTTCCTATGTTGTCCCCTCCCAGTTTGGCACTCATGTCACCCATTAGAATTTCGATGTCGCCAACTGGAGTGGGGTCTTGTCCAGTACTGATTGCAGTTGTCTATAGAGTTCCTCCTTCTTCTCTTCATCCGCATTATTTGTAGGCACGTAGCATTGTATGGTTCCTGTCATGATCCTGGAGGAGATTGGTTCCCACTGCATGAGAGAGACCCTTCGACGCTCTCACGGACATCATGATAGCCACTCCAAAACTCAATGTGCTGTGCTCGTGGTTGTCGTCTGGATGACAATATCAGAGTAGATTATTGACTCCTCTACAGTTGACAGTTGGGAGAGTTCACTTCCATTCCATCTGCTTTCGCAAATTCCTAACACTTCAATGAGATACCTTCTCATCTGATTTGCAATTTGGGCAGTCTGGCTAGCTTCATACATGATGCGGACATTCCATGTCCCTATGTTTACTTTCGCTTTCATGGAGAGTGGGAAGACACCTTGGCCAATTGGCTTCCCGAGTGCTTTCTTCAACCGGCGTCATTTCGTCTCCATGATCCCAGTGAGGAATAAGTTTGTTTTTATTTTTTATATTTTGTTTGTGCTTTGAAGTTTCTTCAGGCGTTAGACTGGTTTTGACTAGGATACTGTCTGTCAACCAAAGTGAAATAGTATTTTGAAAAACATTGCTGCGTACTTGAAATTCCAAAAATGAGTCCACTGCTTGAAGAAATGACACCTTTTTTGGTAGTTATTTAGAAAACATGTAGAAGCAAACCATTTGCACAACATTGATAATGAGGTTATTTTCACTTTGTCCATCTGCAGTAGACGAAGTTCTATGAAATGGATTTTTATAGCATCACATTTCTAGGTTAACTGCCTTCGAAGAAAGAATGTCTACTGACTCCATGTATTATAAAAGAAGCATGAGCATTTCCGTTTGCATTTATAACGAGTGATGTTCTACAGTTACCTAGTGATTACCTTTTATTTATAGCTAGGTTTAATCATCAATACTTAAGATGCACTGATAGTAAATTCGTTATTCCTGTTCAGAAATTGACTGAAAACGGCATTGGTGAATCAGTAAAATGAGAAGGTAATTTCCTAAAACAAGTTATGTCACTGATTGCATGTACTTGAGAAAACAGAGCGAGTAATGAGTGATAAACAAACATTTTTTAAAATAAAGATAACGTTGAACAACACTTGTACCCATATGCTGTTTAGTTTCCTAGAAAGCCAACCAATGAAAAAACCCAGTCTTAAAAATTAAAACCAGATTATTCTCACTTACGTTGATAAATAGTTCTGTATGCATATCAGGATGTACTATTTTTTCTACCTGAGACTCATCGGCTGGATGAACCTGCCTCTTATTGGGTGATGTTGGTCTCACTAGGACTCAAATCCACGATCGATCGCTTCAAACGCTAGAGCGTTATCCACTAGGATCCTAAGAACAGGATCATTCATTAGGAAGTACGTAAATCAGGCTGACGAGTCCCAAATAAGACGAAACGCGCGCACTGGATTCGCCTGATAGCCACTATCCATCAATACTACCAAATTTGAAAAATACCAGCAATATCGAGGCATCCACATGGGAGCTCACATGTCAATAGTGGCTAACCAATTGGGTCCAATCAACGGAGGTGAAGCACAAGCTATAACATCAAAGACTGTATATATAATGTTGCAAAAGCGTCGAACGCAGTATTTTTTTATAGGATTTGTCCATAATACAACAGATACGAAAAGGCAAAAGTATTATCAACTGATTTTAAAAACTCCTTCCCGACTCCATATAAGGATGATCTCTATGGCAAACCGCTTCTAATGAATATCCAGTGCTACTTTCTACACATCCTACAGCAAATTATTAAGTAATCAGAGCTACTTGCGCGAATGCATACAAGTAGTATACATGGCAACATCGAAAGCTATAACTGACGACTGTTGAGGAATCAAGTAAAAAAACACACAATATTCCATAAAAAGACGAAGAGTAAGAACAGTGTAGAATGAGATACAGAACAATAGATAGTTTGTAAATGGAAACTATATTGTAAGGTTTAGCATTTTTACCAAGTGAACCAGTGATATCAAACCAGGATAATGTAGTGTTAGAGAATAAACAATTTGAGAGTAAATATTAGTGCGAATATTCAAGCTTCAGAAGAGTGAGTGAGTACATCTGCGCCACTAGGATCGATTTTCATTCCTGTCACCAAGAGTCCTCAACCACTCATTTTTTTCGTCTCGGAAATCCTAACCAGGCAGTCTAAATCTCCCCAAATGGCTTAGACAGCAGTTAAGGACATCATCGGTTAGTGTCACGTCTTGGTCTGGCCAACCTGAACCCTCTTCCAGCCTAATCTAACTTCCCCTAGCAATGCGATGACTTGAGATGCGTAGTATATGTCCAAGCCATCTCAGTCAATGAAGGTTCACAACCGTATAAGCTGACTTGCGAAATGGAAAAACAACAATTTACTAACCTGAGAATTCGGGTTCAAATTCTTCATCCGTCTATGAAGGATATCTCTAAATAATTGAAAAGAAAAACTCTTTATATACAAATAAGTACTACTTTTTCGCTTGAAAATCATAAAAAATATTACACCTGTTACTTATAAAGAATGATTTTTAAGTTGAATATTCACAGAATGAGAGTGAGTGAAGATTATTAATTTTCCTTTATACTAAACCCTCAAGGAATTTAATGAGGTTATGAATTTTGCAACTAAGACTACCTACTTATGTTAAATATACTATTTAATTAATACACTCAGTAACCTTGTGCACATTTGTGCAGTAGGCAATGAGCCGAGCTTTATATGTGAAGGGGAACGATACTACCTGGCTACCCAAACCTCGGTAGGTGGAGCGGAGTTGCAACCCGTGACCCATTGGTTGAAAGTCATCTCTATAAGCCAATGAGCCACAGCTCTATCGTATATGAAACAGGACGATTCTAAGTCACTATAATCTTCATTCAGCTTTATGTAAGCTAACAGACAAACAATTTGTTAAATACAGTAGTTTGACTGAACAGTGAATTCCTGAAACTGTGTGCTACGAAGTTATGCAAGGTAGTCCTAATGTCATCGGCTTAAAGAGAGGTGTGACAAGGTCTGTCATATGAACACCATCTTTGCCGTATAAATGACAAATTTCACTAAGTACATCTGTTTATTAATCTGGTAGGTTGGTATTGAGGTCAAAAGGTCTCCAGCATGTCAATGAGCCTCCTAGTTAGTACTTATACGATAGATTAAATAATGTATTCAGTTGGTCAAGTCAAACAATAATGAACTAGCGACAAAAATCTGAAGGTCTACATGTCATCATAAACTCACACAGCACGCGTTTCTATGAGCCATCATCTTTTTTAACCTCATAACTAATAATAAATGTAATAACTATAAGTGTTAGGGCTTTTGACCCCTAAAAACTAACTTATAATATACAAATAATTTCATTGTAAAATTCAAACCTTATTTTCGCTCCATGCAATGCTACTTATTTTTATCGCGGTTTAAGATACTAAACGCTGATTAACACATTTTACACTTTTAAAGTTCCATTTTGTTTTTCCTGGTCAAGGCTCATGAAAAAGTATATGATCGCACTATTTTGGTATACTAGAAAATAAAACGATAAGTTTGAAGAAAGCTGAAAAGTAATAAGCAGAAGTATTTCCTTATTTTTATATAATCCCATTTCAGTCTATTTTATTTGGTCATAACATTTTCACTTCTTTTGATCTTTATCATATCATATTTTGTCACACTGATATATTCACATTTCTTATTTCACATAGTCTTTGATCTCTAATCTGCCATATTTTGCCAACTGATTCGATGATTCATGAAATATGATCATCATTCATATTAATGAACGATTCCACTTATTGTAAAAATGAAATACACAAGTGTAAGCTAAAATGGAAAATCTAGGAGTTCGAATTATAGTGCATTAAGTAAAACAGTGTAAGGGATAATACGAGTTTGCCTTGGGGGCAATGACAGAGCTAGTTTAATAGACGTATCACAATGAAAAAGTATTGTACTGCTGGAGATTTTTTCAGGTACGACTAGGAAGTCTTCATCTTGCATTTCATTTCACTCAATAACAAATTCAGTTCGAAACTCTGCAAAATATCATGCTTTTCCGCTCTTTTTCTACGGTAAACAAAAGAACTAAGGAGTTTCCAGAGACGACTAATATGCATCACATTACAGAACTGAATTCCATTCACACTACATTCAGAATATAGTAGCCAATATTAAAATGTAGTCAATTTTGCTGACTAAATTATATCAACTGAGCTGCGCACTACAGTAGTCACCAACCTAAGTAACTTGATACTGACACTGTCTACCTACAAATGGAACGACTAGTTTGCACTCGACTGAAATGTTAAGAGGTATCTCGGTTAGAATTTTGTATCAGTGATGAGAATAAAAGCCAAATTAAATGAAGAAAAAGAATTAAACATCAAATTTTATTAAGGACAAAACACGATAGATAGATAGATAGATAGATACTTACCGCCGTGCAGTTAAGCCTAGAAATAATAATCCGAGCATAACATAGCCAATATTTGAAATGATATTGTTGAAAGCAGTAAAGATGCCAAGTGAATGAGCACACTCAAAATTGTAATAACATAAATCTTCGTTGCCAGTCTCAAAAACAGCCTATCATGAAAATAAAATAACATTGAAAAAATTGTAAATATTATTGGGGAAAGACAATGACTTATATTAAGTATCTGATAAAAAAAGATTTAATATTAATATAAGAATAAACTAAAAGCATGATCTACACAAATTTATCTCCATCAGACTTCCATTTGGTAGCCTTCCATTGAGTTTCCTTATATAGTACTGCTATCCGTGACTAAGACAGACTGGAAATAAACTTCATAAAATCTATAAAAGATAAGTTATCACGAGAGTTTTCTACCGAGACATTTATAAAATAACCAGCAAATCAAAAAAGATAATTATTAAGGCCAATGAAAATGATAAATTATTGAAAGGTGCGTAATATCATGATGATAATCACAGACACATTTTAAAAATATGTAAAATAAATTTAAGCATTTATGGTTAACAAGTACCGTGTTCTGAGAATATTGGTGACAGAACTCTTAATGACATAAAAGTTATCATTCTGAACACAAATTCACTAATGAAATTATTTATCCCACCTTATTTACATTCACTGAAAATCTTATTGGTCCAGCCACTGTGATCGACAACAATCGAATTCCTTGCCTTTGTCAAGGTACTGACATTAGTTGGAGAGCAATTGAAAAATAGTGAGAGTCCCATACAGTTAGTATGGCACTACCCCTCAGAAGTGTACACCTACGACCACACTAGTTATCCTTAAACAACGACATCAAAAGTTTTTATAAAATACGACGACATATATATATATATATATATATATATATATATATATATATATATATATATACTTATGTTCATGCTTATTTCCCGCCATTTCTGAGAAAGTATTACCAACTGATATTGGCTCTTAAATCAATATGAAATTTATACACATGATTACGAGTTTCTTTCAGAAGCTCCAGAGTATAATGACTAGCTGCGAAAAAAAAGTCAAGAAAATAAGGTTTCTTTCAAAGAACCGAACAATCTCGTTGTACACCATAACATTTCCACACAACTGATAGCTGCTACATTAATATAGTGGCCATTTGCATATTACAATGACTCGACAAGCTATACTAAATGCGAAGATTTTCTCCCCAAGATTTGACCATGCCAGAAAGTCTGTCAGATAGCGGTACAACAAATAGCACCCTTCTCTGCTCTGTACTTTTCCGGTGATGGAAGTGTTAGAACAATCAAGTCGAAAATCAACAATCTTAAAACGGCTATGTGACAAATCTCATGCAGATGTAGGCTCTGCCTTCATGAAGATCGTTTCTTTTTAAGTTTCAGATACCTTGCAGTCAAAAAGTAACAACCACCTGCACGCTTCTAGCAGTAAATAAAACTCAATCAACCACAACCTAACCTCTTTTCTTTATCTCCTCCTTTGCCTTAACCTTCTGATACCAGCAGTGAGCCTCTTGCAACTTCCTCAACCTCTCACTCTGTGGCGACTGCCAACGATCCAAGCCATCGAAACACTATCCCTAGTTCACTAAAACCTAACTACGAACTTCACATTAGAGCTTACAACATCCGGACTCGGCGGCAAGTCGGACAAGAGGCATCTCTCGACAAAACTCTGGAATCTAAAGGTATGGATGTATGTTGTGTTTCTGAAATATGTATACACAATCCAAGTGTGGTTATTCACTTGACCTCATCTGGCTATTGTAGTTAATCTTAAAAATTCATCTTACTACTGTCTGCAGATTCAATGGCTAGCTCTCGCGGACTCGTTGGTGTAGAAATAGCAACAAATTATCGAGCACAAAGTGTACTTCTCGACTGGATACCAGTTAACAGCCATCTGTGTGCTATTCAACTGAACGGATATATAGAAATTTGCAATAGTAATATAATGTTCCGTTGTTCAGTCTAAGAGACTGTTGCTATCTACCATGACGTTGTTTTCGCATTTTATTATCAGCTTCTAAAACAGCAGGTTGAAAACAACTTGAAAGTGCGCAAGAGTATATCATACGATTGTAAGACACACTCGAATGATTCAAAATACTTGAAAGAGAGAAATTAGATGAAATATTTTAGGTGGAAAAGTTTCTATAGAGGAAGATTCCAGCAGGCCACCTTTCGACAGATTCTGAAACACTTACCGGTAACCAACACTTGTCATGAAGATGGTATTCTACTTTGTCCACAAAGAGGTGGGTATCGACGTCTGACTGTTGAAAAAAACCACAGAACAAGTATGCAAGGCTAATCAAAGCTTTCCACTCGAACTCACTAAGGCGTGTAAGGACTTACAAAGAGTTGTTGTCTGAAGCAACGACAATCAATGGTGTCCACCAGGGATGTTCATTGTCACTTCTTAACTTCGTTACATTCATTTCTTACCAGTCAAATGTAAAATTATGCTTCAGGACAGGTCTTTACTTACTTTTAACTTAAAGATAGGGAGTAAATGTGTGTCAACCACTTTACCAAATTGAAGATTTTCATTAGTCCGAATGGGTTGGTTACTGACAAAACCCCAGATAGGATTCAAAGAGCTTACTTGGTATTTGTAAACTAACGGTAGCGAGATGTCTGACTGAGTATCAGAGGACGAGTACACTGAGCTGCTCTTCCTTCTGTCCTATTACGCGACTGTAAGGTATGGCTGCTGAACAATGATGATGTGAAGAGATTAAAGGTTTTCGATCACAGATGTCTTCGTAGTATCGTTCATGCATGATGGAACCATAGTGTGAGCAACGTCGAAACCAGTCCAAGGATCCTAGGCAAGGCAAGCAATTCAGTCAATGATGCTGTGAGTTGGAATAAGGCTTGTGTGGTCAAACAAAGACGTGGTATCAGTCCCTGAAGTTCCTGACTGTTGGTATGAGCCAACTAGAGAGGTGTAGTCAGCCTCGTTGAAGTCCCCGAGATAAGTGGAATCAATCGTTGGAGATCCTTATTGACGTTGTGGAAAATCGGTAGCAATGGTGCAGATGTACTTACTTTCTCAAGTCCTCTAATACTCGAACATCCTCACTAACATTTACTTATCGAATTCTTCCTCCCCACATACACCTTTAACGTTTTTGATATCACTTTTTATACTCCCTAGTTCCTTTCATTTTGGTGTGAAATGAAGCAGCTTGAACAGACCCATTTATATGCTGGGTTCTACGCTGACTATGTCTGTCTGTCTAGCTGCGACATGGATTGCGAGCTATCTACAACACAATCAGTACTTCATTATCGAATTAGATAGACACAAGGCAGACAAACGAACACAATGAATAGCTTACTTTTTGATAGGTCATGATTAACTGCACCGCTGGTAGTCCATAGAAAATAGATATGATAATCAAATACCTTGAAGTTAAACAAAAGACAAATGAAACAATGAAAAGAAAACCTTTAGTATTAATAAACTCAGAATGGATATCTTGCTAAACTCAGGTAATTTTTGATTGAAGAAAAATGTAAAACTCATATATGTTAGTTTTTTCATACCATGCGTGATAAAATAGAAATATATGTATAAGGTACACACATTTTTCTCCAGCCATTATAGGCTAGTCAATTCATGTTTTTAAAAACACGAATACGCTGTGATGAACAGTTAACTTTGTCCTGAGCTATGGGTTTTTATTTCGCTGACGTTTCAATGTTATGCTGGAAATCGTCATCTGTGCATTAGATCTTCCTTGTAACCAATAGGTCACAGGCACAAACCCGGTCCCCACCAAGTGAGATCTAAGCAGTCAACTAGTATCATCAGCTTTCATATAAGAGGTATCTCTGTCACTGTTTACTACACAAAGGTGGACATGGTTGGTGAGTGCATTTCTATTTTTTCGGTTCGTTTTGTGCTGTTTTATATCGGTGGAATGTGATTTCTAAAGGTAGACGAATTTATGAAGCAATGTTTGACTAAACTACAAGAAATCGATGCTCAAACAAACTTGGTCTTTAGGCGCTAGTCTTGTTCTTAGCAATCGTAAATTTAAGTAGACAAGAATTAGACATCATATAGATAACAGGCCTGATTTTGATGATTAAGAACATACGACTTATGTTTCAGAGAATAAACAAATCCTTTTTTAAAATAATTTACCTAACTCTTAAACATGACAAAACAAAATGAGTGGTTGAGATAAAGCTAAATACTACACCACTTATTCTAAGTGATGACACATACAAATTTAACTCAGACTTTTTATGCTAAGCTTTAGCATAAACAAGATAAAAGGTTAAAGCAATTGATATTATATGCTTAAATTGAAGTTCATTTTTGACAATTAATTTTCAACTAGTACACCAAGAAATGAAACACAAATTCATCTACTGACACTTGTACAATCAAATAAATGGGCCTTACTGCTTAGAACATTAAAATATCGATCATCGAGTTGATCAGAAATAACTCGACTAGTGTAAGTGTTATAGTGTGGAATAAGATTACTAAGTAGCTGTGAACCGCTAAAAAGCTTTTTTCAATCAATCGCTTTGTTTCGAAGTTTCGAGAAAAAAGACATGTGAATCAACGTGTAAGTAAGCGTCAGGTTTGCTGAAGAGACGAAAAATCAATAGGCTTTAAATCTAGTAGGCCTGGAAATAGCCAAGGTTATGGTAATACATATAAACCTTGTAATTTGTATATAATATTGACGTCGACGCTGTAAACACACCTTCTGTTATTTATTACCACCTTTCCCATTACGGAGAAACTGAACGACCATTAAGAGTGGAATCCAAAGGTATTTGTACAAGCGCCTTCATATATAGCAGTCCGCACACATATACAGTTTAGGCTATACCAGTTCGCTGTAAAGACATCAAAGTAAGTATCATTCATAACTCAATAAACATGAGTAACACATTCCCTTTCTAGCTTAAAATTATCTTTCGCACCTGTTTGAATTACTGTCATTTTCATTTAAGATCGTAAAAGGAGTAATCAAAATCTAATCAGTGTGAACAATGCAGGTGTGATTTAAAACTTGGTCAACACTTAGAATAGGTAAATAATAAACGTGAATTGGCGGTGTGAACAACAATAGCGAGTAATGAGGGTTATCTTCATAACTGCTAGAGGATATGTATATTAGATAGTCTTCCACAAACTCTGAAGCACAAAAAAAAAGCCCAAGTGCCTCAAATATATTCTGTATCTATTTAAATGAAGGGAATATTTCTCCAAGTAGATCAATATCGTTTATACAAAACAGCCCCAGATACATAAATCATGTTATTGAGAGCTTGCTACTCAATTCAATGTATGTGGGAACTATGAATACTTCTGATCAAGAAATAAAGGTACAAAATGTATGGTGCTCTTCTTTTCTTTAAAATGAGAAGTAATGAATCAACAACTTGCTCGTACGTGTCATTTGGCAAAATTTAATGAATTCAGAGCACTCACGACAAGATTTTACCTAATGCGTTTCCTGTATCAATTATTTGTCACTAGATCGCATAGAAACGTATGACGAAGTGTAGGACACTGTTGCTAAAACTATCCATGGGCCAACTGAAACACTTTTAAGAAGATTAACTTCATATGGTTGAAAACCTTTAACAGATTTTTCGTTCGACTAACAAACTGTTTCACTGATACCAATAATCCTGTTGCCAGTGGCTTGTAGTACCTGTAACAATCTCCGATGAGTACCAAACGCATTTTGGCTGAGAGCTACGATCATCACCATTGTAAATTCTTCATTAGACTTCGGGCAGTTTCCTACATAAAGGACTTACGGGCTATAGATCTAAGAACCCAAGTGATTTTTTGCTCTAGGATACTTAAAAGCACTTCAACCATCATTGAAAATCAAGGTTAGACATGGTTGGGTGTTCCATATGTAAGAAAAAGAAATTCAGCTTTGGAAACTTAACCCTTTTCTCTTAGTGCAAAACAAACATAGGAAATGAAAGTAGTGAAAAATAATCTTGTCAAACAGATCGACTAATGCGAAATCATATGAGTAGGTATGGATACTAATCGAATCTCATTGTGTATGAGCATGAACAATTAAATTTGTTCTCCGCAAAAAACAACGAAGATTCAATGGTTCGACAGAAACCACTCATATGATAGAGATCACACAATCTCGTTCTATGTTAAGGTTTCCCTCAAAAAAGGCTCCTTTAGTGAATCCAGAAGAAGTGGATTATTGTTGTCCCATATTATAAGAATATCTGAAATGTACAGTTTTCAAATACCATCATCACACTTTACAAGATACAAATGAAAATCCATAAGATAAAAATTGTCGTTATAACAAGATTCAATCAGCCAATGGTTTAAACATGCATCGCTTTAAAATATTTAAAAGTACAAACAAATTCTTACCAGAAGTATAATAAGTATTTTCTATTTAGTGTTCCGTAACGCTTTCTGGATAAATCTGATACGTATAACAAAACCTGATAACAAAAACGTTCGAAAAAATAATAACAGTGTTGAATATTACAATGAAGTATATACTATCTACTATTTAAGTTGGAGATTAAAATGATTTAACATAAAACACAATATGTGCTCCATGATGCTTTATTAATAAACGATATACGATTTCCAATAAAAAAAATTGTATTACTGATTTAAATCTCTAAGAAGTTTGTGGATTGTAGGGTCAATAAATTTATCATAGATATATAGGTAATGAATATTGATACAAAATGATAAATTTTCAATTTTAGTGCCATTTCGAACAAAGCTAACACCTGTAATTGCATCAATAGTTGGGTTTTTTCTCTCTTAATTCTTATACTTTGTAATACTAAAGGTGATCCATAGATTAACAATTGGACTTTGTGAGATAACTATTGGTTTACGGATTAGTCTTTATATCACAAGAAGTAATGAATTCTGTAAAATGATGTAACCAATTTCACATATAAACTAGATTGCCCAGTGGAAGCATCACTTTCTTCAGTTATTCATGGTTCGATATTACCTTCTTTGATTATTCCAGTCTTCAAGAAAGGCGAGAAGTTGTTTTGTGATAACCACAGAGGAATCAGCCTGACGAATATAGTGTCCAAGATCCTAGGTTCTATAATTCTTCGACGCCTGAGTGGAGCTCGGTAACAGCAAGCCTGAGAAAACCAGGCAGACTTTAGACCCGGCTGCGGGTGTATCTACCAATTATTCGCACTGAGCCAGGTTCCGGAATAAAGGGACACTTCTCGACCTGAGGCGGCATTCGACTCCACTGATCGAGAAGTCTTATAGCAATGTCTCTCACTGAAAGGCGTGCTGACTAAGCATATCACCTTACTGAAGGCTGTCTACTCGAAAACTTGTGAGCGTGGCCTATGGTGAGATGTCTAGGGGAGCTGTACTCATCGACCGGTGCCCCTCAAGAATGATCACTCTCCATTCTTATTCAATTTTAGATATAGATATAGATATTCTTGTAGAGGTCTACCTCTCGTCACCTGACTACACACCTTGATCTAATCCCGGGAGAATTTTCGTTACATCTAGAATACGCAGATGACATAGTCAGTCCTATTACATGAAGACGCTGACAACATGCAGAGTCTTCTGCACACTTTGAGTGACAATTTGAGAATGTTTGGGATGCATTTCTCACCACCCAAATGTAAATTGTTGCTCCACGATTGGTCTTCAATGGTACCCCGGTTAACAATAGAGAGTGTAGTGGTTGATTGTGTCGATCACTTCAATTACATGGGAAGTAGGATCAACCTTACCCTAGTGGCTCAGTGGCCGATGAAATCTCGGCACGGATACAAAAGGCTCGACTGGCTTTCGCCAACTTACGCCACCTGTGGCGCCACCGCCGTGATATCCAACTATCTATTAAGGGTCACGTGTACTTCACAGCACTCCGCTCTGTTCTACTTTATGGCTGTGAAACATGACCATTGAAGGTGGAAAACATGAGAAGGCTTCAATTGTTTCACCACCGTCGCCTTCGTAGTATAGGCCTCCGTATTCCGTGGTGTCACCACTTGAGTAATATAGAAGTCAGGAGTAGAGTTTTAGGAGGAAGAGATAAGTCGGTTGACACAATTGTGAACCTACATCGACCGAGATAGTTGGGACATATTACGTATGCTTAGTCGCCGTCTGCCTCGTCATATAATGTTGGCTGAAGTAGGTTCAGGCTGTAAAAAGGCTCGAGGCAACCAGACTAAAACATAGCATCAATGTATGAAGTCTTCGACTGTTGGTTTGAGCAATGTAGGGCGATGCAAAGTAGTCGGTTGGAGGCTCTAGGTGACATGGCTGAGAACAGATGTCAGTGGCGCAGATGTATACAAATATTATCCTCATCTTAACGTTACACCGAATCTCACAAATTTCTCATTCTTCCTTTCTCTCCTTTAGTACTTTATATTTTTTGACTGAATTTTCTTTTCTTCATCTCCCACTTCACTGCCTTTTTACTTTATGTGGTGATATAAAGTGTGGCAACTCGGACCGTTACGCAGTAATGCCTGGTCCTATGTTGATTTGGAGGATCACCTTCTTTGAAAGCCTTCTGTTGAGAAAGTGAACATAGATACAACCTAAATGATGGGCTAATATTCAAATGGTTGGTTTGCGAAAAACGATTGATTTTAAGCCTCAAATCAACTGAAGACACTGTGGAATAATCGAAGCAGTGAACAGCTATTTAGTCGCATATTTTTGTTCCTGAGAAACCTACACCCAGGTTTGCGTCGGGGGACGGATTCCAAGACTATCAGTTCTCGGAGAAAAAACATTACTATTCGGTCACTGATTTACAGTTTTCGGTTTCTCTTTATTTGAGATATACCACAATAATCATCCAATATAACTGGTGATTATTTGTCACCAGCCCAACTAAGTTGACTCTAAAAGTTACAGCTAAGAATCAGAAGCAGATGGCAAGTACCGCCAAATCTTCAGCTGATAATAATCTGTGATGGGTTGATAATTATAAACACAAACTTTTCAGTTGCTTATCACCAAATTTGGGTAAAGTACGAGCATTTGACAGTGGGGTAGATAGTCTAAAGTCATGCAAAACAAAATTGAAAAAGCAGGAGAGAAATTGAACAAAGCCACCAAACCTCAGTATTACACTAGAAATAATCAGATAAACGGCAGTCTTACTTCACTGTACCTACGCATACGCTCTAAACTTTCGCATGCAACATTTTAATCTTGTTCAGAACTAAATTACACAGACAACATAAATACTTCTTAGGAGTGTACGAACAAAATTACACCACTTTTTAACTGGGATAAATAAATTCCCCATAGTGTTTGAAAACAGGTGCAAGCAATTGGGACCAGTGAGTATACATTTTATGCATTTCGGAGTTGTACCACACACCTAAATTACATAAAAGCTGGTGTGTAACTCCACCTATAAAATCCACAGGTCAATGCTTATATAAATAAAGTACACCACAGCATTAGCACAGTAAATAACTACAGACTTGTTTTTGAAAACTGCGGATGTCAACCAAACTGAATGATGTGAGAAGACTGATTCCAGATGGTTCTGAACCACGATGAAGGCAGAAAGTAGCTTAAATATAAGTTGATCAAGAGTCTTCGCAGCGGTGTTTAGCGATAACGAGAGAAATAGAGAAGGCAACAGCGTTGGGTAACCCTCGATAACTGTTTAAGTTTACTATGAACACCAGCAAGAAGATGATAGTGGGTGAAACCATCACTGAAAAGGATGGGACGTTGACAACCCACTATGACAGCCGGCTAGAACGTTAGCCAGAACACTGAAGCACAGTTGAAATAGCCCTTAGCAATGCCCCAGTTGTCAAACATCCAGCTTGAACCTGAATGAGATATGAATTTCGGTCCTCCAACTCCCCGTGAAGTTCAGAAAACGGACTTGAACTTGAAACGGTGCAAACCAGCAAGACCTGATAGTTTCAAGGACGGAAGTAGGAAATTGCTGATAAGAGTGAGGCAGGTACTAGGTAGTGCATGGGAATCAGAATATTGTGTCCTAGATCTTAGGGTTCACATAGTTATCCGATGTCTAACTGAAACTCGAGAAAACCAGGGAGGTTTCAGATACAGCTGGACGAGGGTACATCAACCACATACTAATGGACACAACCTTCAGTACGTCTGACTTAACAGGGATAGATCTGCTCCCTGGAGGTCATCTGGTAAACCTGGAGTATGAAGGCAATATTGTCCTGCTAGGTGAAGACGCTAAAGAAATGCAGTCTTGTGAACGCGTTGAGCGGAAATCTGAATATGTTTGGCATGCATTTCGCTAGAACCTGTCAAATGTTAAGCGATGTTTCAAGACTGGCGTGCTGCACGTACTCCTAGTTTAATGATAGGGAATGGAAACTGTCGATCACTTTACTTACTTATGGAGTTACCTCAGCACGAACGGATTGTTTGTTGACAAAATCTCACCTCGGATGCATAAGCCCCGTTTGGTTTTGGCCAACATGGGTCACCTGTGGCGAGATATCAGATAACCTGTTAAACGATGAGTACTGCGCTGTAGTTCGTTTGTATTGTTGTGATACACATTTGTGAGACGAGGCCGTTAAAAGTAGAAGACAAGAAGTGGTTACAAGGTTTCGGTCACACATATCTTCCTTGCATTGATGGCGTGCTCATGGTGGAATCACCGTGGGAGCAATGTTGAGTTCAGGCGAAAGATACTAGGTGAGATATCCAAGTCAATTGATGAGGTTGTAAAGTTAAGTCGAATGTGATCGCTTGGACATGTACTGCGCATGCCGAGTCACTGCATACCTTGACGCACTATGCTGGAGGAAGTCGGAATAGGCTGTAAGAGGGTTCAGGGTGGCCAGACAAAGACCTAGCATCAGTCAGTGAAGTCTCTGACTGTCGCTGTGAGCCATGTGGGGAGAAGCAGACTACTCGGTTGGGGTCTCCGAGATGAAAGACATCGGTGGTTAAAAACTCTTGGTAGCATAGCTGAAAATCGGTCACTCCTTGACATCTTCTAAACCTTGAATATTTGCACTAAACTTTATCTTCAAATTGTTTATCCTCTCGCATAACTTTGTCTTCTTTTATATAAGTCTTTTTCCATCCACCTATTTTTTGTGTACTACTGTGAAGTGTGGAAACATGAGCCGATGGAACTGTGTGCGCGGTCCTACCTTGATTTCATCAGTCAGTGAGAACTGTGATAGCTTCATTGTTTTTTACGGATGCAGTAAGATATATGACCAAAATCTTTTCTTGTAAAGCATTACCTTTAATCTAAATTACATATTAGTTTCCTCAAACAACAATGACAGAGGAAAAAAATAAGGCTAGATTTCTTGGAAAGAAATAGACTATTAGCTACAGCTAGAATATAGCAGCTAGTCAGTAGGATTTACTACGCAGTGAACTTCAAATAATTGAGTAATTAGCAACAAATTTCTTACTGGAGGAAATATACTCATAAATTTAATTATGTAGCAGTTACACTTATATTGAACTCGATATGCTAGTAAAACACTGATGCTAGGAGCTATCTTCTCATGCTAAATCATTAATAAAGGGAAACAATATAACAATTAAAGGCAACTGGAAAACTTACATCCATCTTGTACATTGGGGTAAACTCTGAACCTATATCTGCCGGTTCATCAGTAAGGCTAGTGCTTGCATTATCATAGGAGTTTCTTTGATTTCTGGCGTTATTATTACTATTATTGCAATTATGTATGTTGTCACTGGAGCTCATAGCAATTGGTTGATGAGATACACTAGTAGTTTCTTGACCAATCATTTTAGAATATGCTAAATTTGCTGGTATTATCCTCCTATCTGAACTAGCTGTACCTGTGAAATATTTCTTTTGTTTTTTTGACTCGATCTCATTACTGCCAGCATCATCATCTTCATCAGTTGAACTGAACCAGCCATGAAAGCCTTGTGTCTCAGCCAACGGTGTTTGGTGAGTTGAAGAAGTACGGCAATAAAGATTAGATTCAACTGAATTAGTTAATGTAATACTCTGATAATCTTGTGGTAGACTTAATATCTGATGGTGTATACCAGTATGAGATGGTCTAAAGATATTCAGACTGTTTGAAGAAATTCGTGATACAGTTGGTGGATTTGTTGTATTTGGAGTTTTTTTATGTTTTGAAAATTTGTTTTCTTTTTTGATACTTTCCAATGGGGTTTTTGACGGACTGTAAACAACTGGATTATCGTAGGATACTGTAGAAGAAAAAGAACAATTAATAATTAATACTCAAATCACTTTTGTAAAGAGAAAAACACAGCAAAGCCAAAAATTAGCAAATTGATAACATAGAGCATGCACACACATAACAGGAAACAATGAACAGTACTGAACAAATAGGATAGAAAGGAACAACCAGAAGGAATGAGGGGTACCAGTGAAAATATCAATAACGAATAAAGCAGCTAGTAATGAACAAATGACAACGAATAAACAAAAACAAGGGAAAATATGTGTTTGATTAACTATGAAGAATTAGTGTTTTTGTAGAAGAGAGGGCAGGGGTCACTCAGTTACCTGTTTCGACAGGAATGGATTGAGTTTGTGAACTATTACTAATAAGATTATGTTGAATATTATTATTTGAAGTCAGTGTACTCCCATAATCATATCTACGCCTTCTATTAACCAAAATAGCTGGTGTTTGCGGAGTTGTTGAACAAGTCGCTGTTGGTACTGCCGTAGGTGATGTAGAGGTTGTCATGAGATGGGACACGTTAGAATTCTGTGAACGGACAGAATGTGCAGTTGGACAATTTGAGCCATAATCAAAATTTATCGTCGCCTCTAAGAGCATGTAAAGAACAAGAATTATGGGAATATGGAAGAGGAAATATTGAAAACATGCACAGAAAGTATCAGTAATACATAAAAATCTTTTTTATGCCTAGGAAAAAAAAGAGAACTATATACTTATATCCAAGCTGTTAATTAAAATGATTTAATTGTACTAGGTAGGAGTGCTATACTGAAAAAATATGGTTAAATTGTCATAGCTCTGCTAAGAGTTGAGTTAACATACTTTTCTCACTGACGTTAATAATGCGTAACTCAGTTGCATTGATTCAGTTTGCTACACTTACAACAGAATTTTTAGAAAATACACAAGCGAATGAGACGGAGATTATAGAAATCCACGTGGAGACGTGGAACCAGTGACAATCATAGTTGCACCGCGTCATCACAGTATACTAAGATACGTTCAGGATCCGTTTATTTTTAAATTACTATAGAATCTTTTGCTGCACTGTATACCAGCTGTTCAATCGACACCACAACAGGAACTTATGAATATTGTTCACGTGCTCTGCATTCAGCATGTGACAAAACTTACCATAGCGAGTGCAATGATTTGGAAAAGATGAGTAAATAGTCTTCAACACTATACTGTTAATATTCCTATGAGATGTGTGTATATATTTATTTGCAATACTCAAAACATAATCCTATCAATAAAAGAATATACTGGATCAAAGAAGTATTCAGTGTTAAAGACTTCCACGAGATAGCTCTATTGACTGAGTTGTAGGATGAATTTACCCCAGGATTACAGTTTTTGCTGCAACGATACATTCTTGATCCTAAAATTGTTGATATATATATATATATATATATATATATATATATATATATATATATATATATATATATATATATATATATATATAATCTCGACTAGTACCCATAAAATCACATGAATTCTGTCTCTAGCGAATGATTAGGTGTTGAATCAAAATCTACCATGATATTGTAGAAAGTACCAACCTGTAGTCATAACTGCGATTCTGTTATCTCGTAGTAAGGAAAAATCATGGGACAGTCTGCTTGACTAATATATTCAAAAAGAGCCAACCGATGAATCAATACCAAAACATTAAGTGTACTCATTGCACACTACCCGTTCGATTTAGCGATAAAAGATGTGAATTAGAGAGTCAACATTAGTAAAAAAGACTCTTTAATGTAATGTTAGCAGGGGAAAAAACCTAGGAGAAAATTTGAAACGACTGTGCTAACACGTAAATGTAACTCGAATACTGGAGTAACCGTGATTAAAATAGGAATACATGGATCCATTGTGATTTGTTAGTTTATCATCAAGCGCATATAACCCGAACCATGGAAGTGTTTATTGTAATGATTTGAAGTGAGTTAACAGAAATCAAAACAGTGTAGGAAGACAAACATATATTCCTACAAAGTTTATAAAAAGCGTGAATAAGTCCGGGTTGCATATATTATTCAATAGAAAGCGAGAGAAAACTGATATATATAACTAAATAAATTATTCTAGTATTCAAAAACAAAAGATTTAAGTGATGAGAGATTATGAAGAGTGGCTTTAAAGGCCATCCAAGCAAGTATTAAACTGACCAATCAAGTTTCGTTGTTTCGCCTGGGTAAGTACTTTTCTATAGAATAAAGAAATGTAATTGGTTGTCCTATCAGTTGCTAGAGTGGCCTTTAAAGTCACTCGTAATGGGTGACTTCAGTGTCACAGAACTGTAAGAATTGACAACTGGGTTGTATAGGCAAGGAAACACTAATAACTGCTTTCTTTTGAAAACAATTCCACTTCTCAATGTTAGATAGCTATAACCTTACCGATGAAATAATAAAATGTATACATGTTATTCTTCTTCGCATAGGCAGAGAGACAGAATCAAAGTAGAACCGTGAACACAGTTCCATCGGCTCATGTTTCCACACTTCACAGTAGTACACAAAAAATAGGTGGATGGAAAAAGACTTATATAAAAGAAGACAAAGTTATGCGAGAGGATAAACAATTTGAAGATAAAGTTTAGTGCAAATATTCAAGGTTTAGAAGATGTCAAGGAGTGACCGATTTTCAGCTATGCTACCAAGAGTTTTTAACCACCGATGTCTTTCATCTCGGAGACCCCAACCGAGTAGTCTGCTTCTCCCCACATGGCTCACAGCGACAGTCAGAGACTTCACTGACTGATGCTAGGTCTTTGTCTGGCCACCCTGAACCCTCTTACAACCTAATCCAGCTTCCCCTAGAATACCATATATTCTCCAAAAGTTGTTCTTTCTCTAATCAACTTCGTAGTGGAGAAAATGCATATGAATTAACTGGAATAGCTAAATCTATTCAGCAAACAATGGACAAACTTAAAAAAATGATTGTTTCTAATAAAGGAAAGGGAAATTTTCTAAAAATCCTTTCTTCAGGGTTGTACATTACTAGATATCTTATCATTTATGAAATCAAATTAAAGACCATGTAGCAACATATATGTATCTAGTTGGTATCAAAAAGAGAAAACGGAACAAAGAAGATTTAATGATGGCTAACAGGAACTTATGTGGTGTCAGAGGCGTGAACATGCAGCGCCTCCTGCATCAAACTCCACAACACTATTCGCGGTTAGTAACTGTCTATAGACCTTGATAACTTTTCAGGTAGTGTCTGTGCCCTTACAATTCCCAGTGGGTAATAAATCCTTTTCCTTATATCGCATTGAGTGAAAAACTCACCCCTGGAAAAACAAGGTTTTATTTGAAGAACTCTCTTTCAGTTAACAAAAATTGACCAGATATTGATTCGAGTAGGTTTTTATAGTTTACTTTCAAAACCTATGTTTAAACCGTTACATGATTAATCTGCTGATAACAGTAAATCTGATCTATAACTTAAAAGAAAAACAGCATAACATATGAAACCTCGTTAAGTATTTCCCAAACGTAGAAAACTGTATCATAGAATACTAACTGAAGATACAAGTCTGCAGTTTATAATTGAGAGAAGAATCGCTTATTGAAAGCTTCCTTCTGTTACACTCTAGCTAGTCGGTTTTCATTAACTGTACACATTTGTCATTTTCCACCAGTGATTAGTGGCTTCTCGACATTGGCAAATCATAACACATTTGTAAAAAGTGATTTTTATAAACAATAAAGCGAATCCTCCTGAAAACGACTTGCTACTTTCCCATGAAAGCATGGAGTTGAAGTAACTCGAACAAAATCATATCACATACGGATTAAAGTTGTTGTTGATGTTAGTTAGGGAAAGCTTACAGTTCGATTGCGCTCATAAGTGAATGCATTTTCTCATGTAAGCTTATTTTAATGAGTCGCAGGGCTAAAGAATCAAACACACAAATCACAAAGTAGAAAACCATTATAAATTTAAGGAAGTGGTAGATATTAACACGTACCGTTGTAAAATCGCTTTCGGTTTCCCCTAAAAGTTAATAAAAAGCAAAAAAACTTACGTACTTTTTAGAATAACTTTGAAGTCAGAGTTAATCAATGAAAATAACTGTAGAGCAGGTAGCATGACACTGAAAACAGAGATTTCCTGAACATGAAATCCTTACGAATAGTGAGACTACGTGTTATGCCTCTTGCCTATATATATCACTTAGAGAAAGTAAAAATCCAAATAAGAACTGACATTCTTTGAACATGAATTGGTTATCGAGATTGAATAATTCAGTCAATGACGAACTGATATTTTGGAGCAATAAATGATCAATTCATGTTTCAGTAGGAACATCAACACTCAACAAGATTCAGGTAAGTCCAGTTGACTGGTTTCCAATAAGATGAAACAAACCTCCTAGATTCTCCTTCAAGATACCAGCAAATATATGATACAGTTATATTCGGTTATATTGATAGTGTACTAGATATTATTTACCACTAGTACTTTGGAATCACAAAGAAAAGTTTCGACCCTATGGATACAACTTGCTACTTTCTTTTCAAATTATTCACAAAATCGGAGACAACTTTCTCGCTAAGCAGCACACAATATCACTGAATGAGTTAGCTCTGTTATAGCTAGACATATGATAAACTTGGTAATCACAGAAATACAGTGTTTGGTATTATTTCTCTAGTAAATGACATGAAATAAGTACGGTTGCATAAGTGACTGATATTAAGTCACCAAATGTAATGACCGAAAATACTACCCAATATACCACAACTTCGATAAAGGAAACTGGTGAGTAATTCAAGAAACTAAACTATTGATATGGTCAATACGGTAAACGCAGATCTACTCCCAAACCGTTGGACTGACCATCGCCGATGACTGTCACTGTTCCTACAGGTTAACCCGAAAGGAAGCCGTATTAAGTCTTTTAAAAGTGGTGTTAGGTATGCCTATATTCCTCATATTCCATACTTACAGTATGTTAATATTTGAACCGTTTTTCTCAAGCATCGGTCATATTTCGTATGACCTGCTGGCGTCTGATTAGCCCCTGACTCTTTAAATGTACCAATTATTCCTTGCCTTTCAAGGAAACAAATCCATAAATAGGGTCCGTTTTCACTAATAAACATCTTCAGTCCAAGATACTATAAACCCAGCTGATCACCAGTCTTTTGATTTCTTTTGCGAATGACCAGGGCTAAGCCGTTTCAATCCTCAACTATTAATTTTTCGGCAACTTATTGCCGAAAAATTCCACCACTTCACTGCCTCCCTGTCATTAAACTGGGAGCATACCAGTTCTGAAGCATCATCTTACATTTAACAAGTGCCGGGGATACGCATGCCAAACATATTCAGATTTCTGCTCAATGCGTTCAAAAGATCCTGCATTTCTTCAGCGTCTTCACCTAGTAGGACAACACTGTCTACATACTCTGAGTTAACTAGATGATATCTAGAGATAAGGTCAATCCCTGCGAACTCACAAGTACCTAAGCTTATCTACATTAGTGCGTCTATGACGAAACTAAATAGAAACGGTGACAGTGGACCGTTCAGGAGAATGAGATACCAAGACTCTCAGTGTAAGATTTTCTGCCATGAGACATGAGTAAACTTTTCGTGGTCTTCATTTCGTTGATAGTCCAGTTAGTAAATACGGGTTGGTTGTCATTTTGAATCAGAATTTCACAGGAAGTTTCTAACTTCTGTTTGATGGTTTCCTTAGTACACATATTTTTGATCAATGTAAAAAATACAATATACAACTTTTCTTTCTACTTGAAGGTATCCACTTATAAAAATTTGACAACCGTCCATGGATAGATCACAAAATAGGATTTTCAGGTCGTTCTTGAAGTTTAACGTTAAGGAAATGGAAAAAAGAGTTTGACTTAGCCTTTAATATGAGAACGAATGACGAATGACCGTCATTGAAAACTTGAGGGAGGCTTTTTATGACAAAGTTTTCATCATAAAACGCAAATATTATCCGTATACCTTTTGTATAAATAAAACTAGCTGACCTTCGAGAGTAAAACGCTGTTTTCTGAAATAGCCATAAATCAGTTGTTCAAAAGAAGTGCAAGAAGCGATCTGATTATTACGAAACCGACTTCTGTAGGAATTTAGCTATTAGATCTGAAGTAAACGTTGGATATAACCATTTGTCTTTTGTATTTCTAGATGACGAAAGGTGGCCATTCCAGATGCGCACTAGGCCAACTGAGAGATGGCATATATACCTACGTGAAATCAACTCATACTTAGAGGGTAAGAACACTACATCCAGGTCTATATTGCTCAAACAAATTACTACTACATGTGGAAGTGATAATGTGAAAACTTGTTTATTTTTACCACAGTATCGCTAAACATCACATGTTACACAGAAGAATACAACTAAATTAGTCATTGGTGTAGAGCTATAGAACAAATAAAGTTTCAGTATAAACCTGAAATCCACATGTTATAATAAGTAAAAAGAACTTACGCTCTCTGATACAAGATAATGAGAATGATTGTAACCACGTAGAAAAGTAAGTAAACACCGATAGCTCCAAGTATAGGCAATAAATACGGCCATTCTTCGATTCAAGAAAGGAAAGAAATATATGAAAAATTGGTAATGACTAACATTATCAAATAAAAGCAATAAGCTGATCACAAAGAGCTCTCGGTATAACTTTTTACCAATTACATACAAAGTACAGAATAAACAGTGACGGAAAACTCACTAATAGGTTTTGAAAAACGATGACACATACTGCCGAACAAAGTAGAAATTATCATACTAATCCCCAATTATAGTGAACTAGGTAGGTTTAAGTAGCTGACCAATCAATCAATCACGTTTTTCCTTCAATACATCAAGATCTCTTTCAGTGTATAATTTCGTCAAATATCGAATGCTAATACACTTAACGGAATACATGAATCGCTTCGGAGTATTATCAATACTCTTTTACCATATCCTACCTTCACTCACTTACCTATAAAACATACCTTATAATCTGCATCGGCAACCTCAACAACCATCCTAGTGAACAAAAAAGAATTCGTGGTTCTTTTAAATCATACCGTACCTCAGAACTTTCATACTGAACTGCATATTGGGTCAAACTAAATACCAAACCTCACTGGCCTAAAAAAATATCCATCACCAAGCACTTACGAAACGTGTGCCATACCTCAGTATACTTAATCACCTGGTTTCACTTTAACTGACTAACTGACAAAACCAATGTAGAACCTGTTCTTTGTGTAATGCTGTGAAGTAGGCCAACTTGAGGCAATGTACTTAAGCGCGAGGTTCCACGTTGATTTTGTCGGTTAGTTAGTAGCACAGAGAACAGGTGGATAGAAAAAGTGATACCGAAGTAGATAACGTTGTGTAAGAAAACAAACAATCTGAAGATAAAGGTTATGGTGAATATTCAAACTTCTGATGTCAAGAAGTGAATAAATCTACGCCACTGTGACCCATTTCCAGCCAAGCCACCAAGAGTCATCAAACACTTATTCCTTTCGTGTGAGGGACTCGAACAAGGCAGTATACATCGACTCACACAACGCAGACCAACTGTCACGGACTTCATCAACTGGTGACACATCTTAGTCAGGCCACCCTGAACTCTACTCCAGCTTAATCCAAATTCCCCCGGCGTGCACGTCAAGGTAGGCGGTGACCCGGCATACGCGGTACTTGTCTAAGCCAGTTCAGTCGACTAAACTTAACAACCTCATCAATCGACTTACTTATCATACCAACTACCTTTCGCCTGACCTCAATATTGCCCATACGATGATGTCACCATGGCACACGTGAGCAATGCAACGAAGGTATCTGTGATTAAGACCCTGTAACCGCTTCATATCTTCCGTTTCTAACGACCATGTCTCAGCTGTACAACAGGACAAAATGGACTACAGCACAGTATACTCATCCTTTGACAGATAGTCGAATATCTTGCGACAGCTAACGCATGTTGACTAGTGCCAAATGAACTTTCTGTATCCGAGCTGAGATTTCGTCAGCGACCAGCCTGTTCGGGTTGATGCAACTCCACAAGTAAGTAAAGTGGTCGACACATTCCACCACTTCACTCTATCATTAAGCTGAGAGCTGTTGCAGACCAGTCCTGAAGGATCGTCTTATATTTGATAGGTGCCAGCCAAATGCACACAGATTTCCGCTCAACGTGTTCACAAGACTTGCATTTCTTCAGCGTCTCCACCTAGCAGAACAATATCGTCTTCATACTCCAAGCGAACCAGATGACCTCCAGGGAGCAGCACTTCAATCTGTGTGAAGTAAGACGTACCGAAAATTGTGTCGATTACTACGTCTGTGACGAAGTTAAATAGGAACGGCGACACTGGACATCCCCGGTTGACCTCACTATGTGTCATCAATTCATATGACAACTCTCCATAAGCCCTTAACATGGCTCCATGAGTTCGAGTATAGAGCTTTGATTACCGTTATTTTATTACTCGGTACTCCTCTCACAGTCAGACACTGCCACAATACCTCACGATTGACCGAGTCAAGTGCCACCTTTACGTCAAGTAATATGGCAAGTGTCGACCAATGGCCGGTGGGTTGCCTGACTTCCAGAACTTGTGGGAGGGTGAAAATATGGTCGGTACACCCTTGTCTAGCTGTGTCTAAAATCTGCCTGGTTTTCTCAAAATTGCTGTTATTGAGCTCCGGTTAGGGGTTGGATAACTATGGACCCTGGGATCTTGGACACAATATTGGTCAAACTAATTCCTCTATGTTTGTCACAAGGTTTCTCTCCCTTATAGACTGGGATGACCAGAGAAGTACACCAGTCTGACGACACTACCTCTAATGCGTATACACTACCTAGTACCTCCGTCACTGTTATTAGCGACTGCTTCTTCCATCCTTGAAAGCTTCAGGTGGCAAACTGTCGGGACCTTAGATACCTGCAAAATCCATTTCCGACTGACTCAGCTTCCCTACCTTAGCGTTAAAGTCACGTGTCACTGAAACTATATTCGAACGTTTTTTTTGTAACAAAATTGGCAATTGATGATATAATTCATCCTTTGTATCATTCAAACTGCAGTTGGTGGGTGTGTAGGCAAAGATCACGAATAGGCGTCAGGATCCTTCCTAGATTTTACAGATTGATTCAGTCGAACAGCACATCGACGACTGTTGACTGGTCTCCAGTCGAGAAGCTCGCTTTCTGCCCTGCAGCTCAATGTTATTTCTAGACCAATGAGTCCACAAGAGCTAGCCATCGGGTTTCCTGATACTCTTCAGACGAATTTTGAACCCAATTTAATAACCACACTCGGATCCTGGATACGTGTTTCAGACAAGAGATTGGCAAACTATGTTTGCTCTCAGGTTTGCCATAGAGTTCGGAAGCTCCTATATGAAATCGATGACGGGGTCGTAGAAGACTAGGAATGAGGTTTCGATGGCTTTGATCGTTGGCAGTGGTTGGGAAGTGGAAGGTTAGGTAAGGCGTAAGTGGCTTAATATTATTATCAGGAGGTAAGCAGAAAGTAGGGAGACAGAGTTTAGGAGAATAGGTTATGCTTGATTGGGTCTTGTGTACTACTGGAAGCGTGCAGGCAATTGACACTTCCTGGCTGCTCACACGAAGGAAAACTATTTCTTTTTAAGGTACATGGAAGAGAAAAAGATTTGTGTGACTACAGAGCCTATGGAACATCTGCTTAAGGTCTGTCATACATGGCCTTTTGCAGAATTCTTTGAGGTCTAGTTGTTCTGACTCCAGATAAGAGAAACCCATACCACCGGCTCCGGAGGACCGTGGGGCAGATGGAATGTGCTACTTTTAGGGCTGACCTTTTATAACCCCCTCCCTCTCCCCGCTGGGAAGGCAGCATCAGCGTGGTACTGCTGGTCATCTAAGGGAGACACCTTCTTGCTGTCACACCCATCCAGCTAGCAGCAGTACGACTTCGCCCGCAGGCTTCCACAGTGTGGTAATTTACACTACAACGATAGCTGCTTTTCGTTTTATTACTATCCAACAGACCTTTCTAGTATGGTAGGACCTCGAGAGGACAAGCGTTCCACCAGCATAGCTCGTTGGGTCATTGGGATATGTAAGCCCAACCACTATGTCAAGGTAGCAGCTATCGGTCGGGTGATTTTACTTTACAGATAGTTTAGTTATCATATATAATATACAAAAATGTGAGAATTCGATGACCAGTGTATAAGTTTGGATATGTGTGGGGAAATTAAAATGAACAGTTAGAAACACACCTCTTGATTGGATTCGAAAAATACTTCATAGGAGCTATTAAACTGAAAAGCTTGTGAGTAATGTGAACGGATTACATTGCAAGTTTATTTGAAGTCTACACTGTTGCAGTCAGCTAGATGGTAAACTAAGTCTAATCAGGGACAGACAAGTCTGCTTCAGATGGTTGAATACATCGAATATGATGGTTTTACACGTCACATTCAGTGTGCGACATCAAAACTTTAACCTATATAAAGATAAATGAGCCAAGCTATTTTGACAATGACGACTGTTGTATGCTTAACAAGTTGACTAATAACTGAGGTTAACAACTACCCAAAGATGTGTGACTTTGTTTTTCCCATTAGTTACTCTTAGTTATTACCTACGTCCTTCAAGCTTTATACATTTCTATTTAATTTTAGCAAGCACATTTTTCATTCGGCATTGCGGGCTACGCAAAAGTAGTGATCTCTCTATTACTGCTATGGGCAACATACTGATAAGATTTGTTTCAAGCATAGCAACTAGCAACGGTATATGCATACAGATACAAAATCAAATCGGGAAATTTACGTAGACGTATCTAACTGTTTATGTTGGAACAATATATTTATGTATCAAATCCACTGAGTGAAAAATTAAATGTAAGCGTAGACTTGTTCCCTTCATGACTTTTCCGTATAAGGTGATGATGATAACGTATACATCAAGACATATCAATAAAAAGTTAAAAAAAACCATTCAACTGTTCCGATAGAACAAGTTGCAAAGGGGTGCACTACTAGACATGTCTACCTCAAAATACAAGACCATCTACCGGCTTGGTTAGCGAAAAGTGAGATCAAATTCACTACAAGTTCTGTACTAGCATACCTGCTAGATACAAGACACCGAATAGATGCTAGCACAGCTTTTAAAGCGATACATCGTGCTCCGATGACTTAACCACCTGCCACACCCTTTACGCATTCTCTATATAGCGGCAGCAGTAGCCATAAGATAATTTATGAAATATCCACTCCATTTCTACTCTCCTGGAAACTTCATATTATTCTTTGTACTAAGTACTCACCCGATACAATTCAGCCTTGAAATTTATCATAAATTTTCCGTCTCCATGATGTATACGTTTACTATGGTTGATCGTCAGTCAGCTGACACTTACAGTTTACATTCGTCATTAGAACTGATACATATAAGCCAAATTATCATCTACAAACCCTAAACAATCTAATTGTAATTATAGTTTCATATCCATTCTAGAATACAATTGCCGCAGATTAGAACATTACGAAGTTGTCCAATTGACTACTAGAGTTAGTTGTGGTTCGGTAGACTTGGGTGATTATTGCAGATGAAATGAAAATCTAGGCCACGGCAGGATTTGAACGATCGAAATCTGGGCGATTGAAGTGAAATTAAGATTTGATCGGGAGTCAGGTCTTGTAGCTCAGTTAGTAGAGCATCGGGTCGTTAAACCAGAGGTTGCTGGTTCGAATTTTGCCGCGGTCCAGATTTTTGTTTCACCTTCAATCATCACATAGAATCATTATTAGGTTGACAAACTTGACTTTATGACTGCAGAACCTGACAACCAGTCATTGAAAGAATATTTATCGTTCATAATTGACCTCCAATATATTAAAACGTACTTCGAGGAGTGGAAGTAACTATGATTCGAACAGATTTGGTTCGAGATCCAGCAGGGTATATTTGTCGTCCATGTGGATCTAAAAACATTTTTCAAGAAAAAACAGGTATCAATAGATGATTACTAACATTTATCCATAAAGTCTTCATGAAGGATAACACATAATAATAATGTCATAGAAACATGCTGATATGGAAATGAAGATACAACATAAACTGGTGACGATTTACTCATGACAACACACACTTAGTTATCCAAACTATCAATTAGTATAAATGAGGAAATCGTAAACAAATAAATATACCACCCAATTAATCATAAGACAAGAGACAGACGCAATGAAGAAAATTTTGTCTCGAGGATACCAATTTCGCAGTTACAACTAAACACTTCACCTGCTGTAAACTAATTCGTCACTAACAACAATTAACAGTAGTAGTAATAGTAATAATAATACATTTCTTATATTTATTTCGAACCATAGTTATGTTTACAGTAAAGAACTTTCAGCATGTAATATTGCATCAGTTTACCCGTTGTACAACATTTTTAAGGAAATATTAAAAATGCAGTTTAACAAAACACAATAATGAACAAAAGGGTTGTTGAAATGTTTAATGATTTCAGAGACATGATAACTATTCGCTATTGCAAAGTTGATTGATAAGGCTGTGTCTAACATGATTTTCTTTATATAATAAACAAGCTGAATAAGGTATAGTTGAATTCTTTTATATATTTGTGAGTGCATAGTTTTCAGTATATTAGCTTCTTGTCTTTCCAGACGACAGACATGGGGAGAGGTGCGTATGCAGAGGATGACTGTTACCAGATAAAATACTTTTAGCCAATAGTCTACAGGCAGAAACCGCTCACATAAAAACTCATAAACTTGAGTAATTTTCTGAAAATTCTTGAAACCTTATGCACAATACAAACATAGCTAGTGAAAATATTAAGAAAAGGCATCTGCTCAAAATGAATTCCTATTATCATTGTCTTGGTTGTATTGTGTTCTCTGAGCTGGGTTGTTTAATCGTGGAGCTTTCATCGTGTTTTTAGACGACATCATCAGCACTAACTTCAGTATGAAGTGAGCTGTCGATATCTCTACGTGATTGATTTAATAGCTTGTCCTGACGAACTGGTTTGTGATTGGTTGCTTCTTTTGATTGTTGTGTCATTCTGTTAGCTATTCTTCTGCTTGACCTCTCTAAACCCTATTATGCAGACCGAAATACGCAACAACCAGAGAAGACAAACCGAATATCATTTGCAAAATCAACTGCAATAACTGTAGTCAGGACTATGTTGGACAAAGTGGTCGCCCTCTTCACCTTCGTCTACATGAACACTGATTGGCTATTAAACGTCATGACATTTCATCACTCATTTCAATGTATGTGGATAATTATGGACATGAATTCAATTTTGACAATGTAGAATTCCTGAACAAAGGAAATACAAAAAGTATCAGAGAATTCCTAGAAGCTTGCCACTCAGGTCAGTTAGCAATCAACAGATGTATAGACATAGACCCAACCTATCAACCAATGAGAATGATAAACGACACTAAAGTCAGGGATCAAGCAGGGGAACAGCCAACAGGAAAATCTATACAGTGAATGACACAACAATCAAAGGAAACAACCAGTCAGAGATCATTTCGTCAAGGAAAGCTACTAAATCACTCACAGAGAGATACTGACAGCTCACTTCATACTGAAGTTAGTGCTGATGATGTCATCTAGAAAGACGATGAAAGCTCCACGATTAAACAACCCAGCTTAGAGAAAACAATACAAGCAGGACCATTCACCTAAGCTACAAATATTGTTCACCATTATTATGATTGTATTTAGAAAGAATGTAAGAAAACTCTATTTTCACAATGAGTGTGTCAAAGTAACACTTAAGTGATTACGTATAATCCCTGTATTGGAGAGTTGTATTTAGCTTATTTTCTTTTCAGTTTCTCATATACTGTTTGTTAAACGTCAAATACATGAATACTATCAGGAAACTATGAATCCTGACAGGTATAATTTTGGAGTGTCCCATTACGCATTTACAAATGGGCAGCTTTCATAACGAGCTAGTTCAAAATAAAACTTTTCAGAGTAATGATTTTATCTTCACCACACGAACAGCCAACAAAGGTAAGAAAATAATTTGAAAATTTCTACTGAATATCTAGACAAGTTTTATACTGTATGACGGGAAATCAGTAAAAACAAGGTTCTAGATAACTCCACATAGCTACTAAGTTTCCCTTGGAACAAGACCAATGGTACAGTACGTCCTTCTACCTCATAGGGAACACAGATGATTACAGTGAAGCTAATATATTTAAGAATATAGCTCCCCACCATCTCAGTAAAGAAACAGATTGTCTAGTCGATGGATTGGAATTTGCATTTCCACAACTACGTAGAGGGAAAAATGGAAGGTTTTAAACGACCATAATACAAAATGGTTATTCTGATAAATTCACAAACAAGAGTAGATCCAGACTCAGAGAAAATGTATCGAAAGACAACATTGGTAACAAACCCTTAAATCTAAGATTACATTTCAAAGGTGATATAGCCTCTAATGTGTAAAACCATAAAAGGGATGTTACGTGCAATTAAATGATACATCAACTTCTAAATCAATTCATTTCTAAAATAATGAGTTATGGAAAACAGAGAGAAATGGATAGACCAGGATTAGCATAAAAATTGTTTAGTGTTCTTTGATTACTCGATTGGATGACTTTACATGCACTAATGCAACTATCAAGGTAAGAATTTTGTTAAATTTTTAAGATGCTGAATAGCTACTGGAAGAGAAGTTTAACCTCTCTAATTTTAAATATTATTGGGTCAAATGAGGAAAAGAATTACTGACATGACATTTGGATCTTTTATTGACACAAAACTTGATCACTGATCTACCGAGTTATTTTTACGCTTGATGAAGAACAATTGTCTTCTGGCTAAGCCACCTGTAGAACAATTCAGTACCCACCTACTGACTACCATTTGGCGTGAATGATAAACTTCTGAAAACTGCCCTGTAATTTTTTGACTTTGTACCTTGTAGAACTTTTATAATCCCTTAAATCAAGTTTTGATTAGAGTTTTGTATCTATATAAAGAATGATAAATCACCAAGTATTTCCGTAAGGTTTCGAGCAATCCAGTGGCCACAAGTGTTACAGTAAACCGAAGACCTATAATTCACTGAACACCCGATAATAGCTTCAGAAACTGTTTAGATATTACTTGGTATTCAGCCGAGTGATTTTTAATTAAAAAGGTTAAATGAACCAAAAGTATCCTTTTCAGTATATTCTTCCCCACGTTTCACAGTTAGAGTCATACTAAGGGTGGATGCTACTCACAATAAAGTATATCAGTAGTATAAATAGAACCATCAGGAAACACAAGGAATGATGTAGATCGCCTGTTAAAGATTATGAACCGAAAAGGCAGAATATCGAGTACAAACATTGAGGGTGAGGACACTGTACAGCAGGATGCCGAAAGAAATGATGGTTAGTAATGTGACTTTATTTTAAAATTTAACATCCTCAATAACACCGATTGCAATTAATCAATAAACTAACCATGTTGGTCCATCAAACTCTTCCAAATTATTGGGCTTAAGGGAGAGGAGCATAATATGTTGCAGGGCTTTATAACAATGGGTTTTTCGAACCAAATGGTTTAAAAATTTCCATCGGAAAAACTATACGTGAATGACAGTATTCAAATTCAAATTATCATGAAATTCCTAACTACACAGTTTGTGTCATTATTTTCCACATAAGTAAATGCTTTTTGTGGGTAAAATGAGTTAATGACAAATCCTTTTCCCTATTAGTTACACAAGAAGTATATGGAAAATACTATCACGTGTACATAATAATATAAACCGTTTACGCCACTTAAATAATAACAGCTAAGTTACGCAACCCGACCAATAGCCGCTACCTTAATGTGGTAGTCCGGCTTGCATATTATAGTGAACCAAAAAGCTGTGCAGGTGGAGGACCTGCTTTCTAGAGGTCCATACTTGGGAGATATATTGGACAGTGAAACGGCAAAAACCAGTTACCGCTATATTGAAAGCAGATGTAACATGATGGAAGTCAGAGGGTAAACAGTTGTAATGCTGGTTGAACGAGATAGGACAAAATTAAGGCGCTACCGTGGATAACTAGCTGTTTGCGCTGATGCTGAACTCAGTATGAGAAGGGGAATTTAAAAAGGTCGGCTCTACCAGATACTTTGTGGTATACCGCTGCTGACGATATGGCTTTACAGTCGGGTTCGAAACTTACACCTTGAACTTCTCAAAAGGTCATGGGTGACCGGCCTCAGAAGATGTCTCTTGGGCTCTGCGACCACGCACCACTATTACTGATGCAATAAATATTTCAAGTACCTCAAGAAGAAATAGCCTTCCACAGTGTGGGCAGCTAGGAATCATTTACCGACCTCACAACTCTGTCAACAATTAAGCTCACTCAGGTCAGCATCAGTCTTCTAAATCTTTTCTCACATCTGATAGTCAACATCCCTACATCACTCTTGATTTTTCTCAGCTCCGCAACCCTTGATAATAGTTCGAGATGGTGAAACAGCATCCCCGGTGTCCTGAAACCAGACTAGGAACTGAGCATCAGAGCTTTCCATGTGCCCATTCTCGGACGAACCGAGCAACAAGCTTCCCCAGACGTTACTCTGACGTCTTGGGCCATGGATATGTACTGTGCTTGTGAGACATGCATACAGTATCCTAGTGTGGTTATTCGCTTAATCTCACTCGACCATTACAGTGAATTCACAAAATTCAGCCTTTGACGTTTTGGAGATTACATGGTTAATTATTGCGATTTTGCAAGTGTACGTATAGTACTAAGTGTTGAGGCAGGAAGTTTACTGCTTGACTGAAGTCCAGATGACAATCAATTGTGCTCTTCTCGACTGGATAGTGTACTGATGACCAAAAGGAGCAGTAAAACTCGCCGTTGGCTCATTTTTATCTCTCTTAACGCATCCATTAACCGCTGTTCGGCTGGTGGGAAAG